GCGCTGCGCCACATTGCTGTACCGACACATAATACTGGTGTTGGACTATGTTTGAGAGTGCTTCACAGGTTTTCGCAGCTTGTAACGGGGCTGTGACACATGTGAACTATCTTAGGAGATCGCGAGCGGCGGCATCGCGGCGAGGCCGGAAGAGCCTGTTTGCTGAGTGTTGGCCACAGGGCACTGCGGGGTTCGATTGAATGCTGATTTTTGGCTCGATGCGACTTTCTTGGAAAGCATTGCATCTCTTTTGCTACATGCTCTTGGCTCCAAAAGCGCGTCTCCTTGATATTTGGCTGCAAGTCTTGGCAAGCCAACCCCGAGCCGTGATCGATTTGCAAAGGTGTTAAGTGCAGCCAAGGAAATGCGCGATGCCGCAGCATGGTTTTTGTTGACAGCCTGTCTCGCAAGCTCTGTCATCTTTGCCAGAGGCGCCAAGTTGGGACATGACGTGGCGATAGGCTGCAGAGGGTCAGAGCGTGCATGAATGAGGTCACTCTGGTTGCGAAAGTGTTGCTCGTTGCTAAAGAAGTTTGACCCGTAGGGAAGCAGGAAGGCAGAGGCAACCCAGCATGACCTTCTACGAGCATTAATTGCGTTTTCGATTCGATATACCAGACTCTAACGTGAGCGGCGACCTTCAAATCCCTAAAGCACCGACTCGTCGTATGTGGTCCAGCACCAAACCTGCCTAGAGCACATGTGCTGGATTGAATTCGCCAGCTGGTGTCATGCATAGTGCCAATTCTTGAGGATTGTTGGTCTGAGCAGCTGCTCTGATCGAATAGCACGCAAGAGGAGACAAACGCAGCTCTAAGCTTAAACGATGTTGTTCTTTAGCTCCTTCGTCCTAGTGAAACATTGGTCGTTGCAATCGGGCACCGAGGACTTTAGACAGAGATCCAACGAACTTAAGCTTATGGAAGGAAAGAGCATGAGAGAATAACTGGATCTCTTCCTGTCCTTGTTGCACGAGTGCCCAAGCTTTTCTCTCGGGCAGGAAACGACAACATCTCTGCAAGCTCTGTTCCGTACCCCTGTAATTCAACGATCTGTGATGGGCCGCTTGGCTGTTGAGAAAGAGTTCGAGACTTTGGCATGTTGTCTGCTATGACAAGAGTACCCTGCAAGGTACGTAGCCTATGGAGCTTGCAGTGCTGACCAGAAGTGCCCAGCTGTCCTCGTCATCCAGGCACGGCGTTCTCGGATCCGTGCTCTTGAGCTCTCGGCATGAAGGGAATTGTCTTCAGGACTCGACCGGCATGGACGACTATGAGATGGAGCGTGCACGTATGCTAGCTGACCTGGGCTATGTGGGATTTGCAGCAGACATTTATGGCCGCGGCACCCCTGTTGAAGATCGTGACGACTGGGCCGCAGCAGCTGGAAGGCACCGCGGCGATCCGACCCTTTACATGTCGAAGATCAATGCAGCTTTAAAGCAGGTGAAGTCGTACAGTTTCGTAGACACTTCCAAGATTGCGGTCATCGGATACTGCTTTGGCGGCACAGGGATTGTCAATATGGCTATCCTTGGAGTAGATGTGCTGGGAGTCGTGGGGTATCACTCCGGGATCCAGCCAAACCGCCGAGTCCTGCGAAGCGATAGCACAGTTCCAGTCCGTGCGAAAGTTCTTTTGCATTCTGGGGTCCAGGATGATCTAGCAACTGACATTGCCTTGTTGGAGCGGGAGTTCGAAGATGCAAACGCAACGTTCGAGATCGTGCGCTACGGCTCCGACGTGCTGCACACATTTACGAATTGGTACGCAAATGATCCCGGTGTTGCTGTGTACAACCAGCGAGCTGACGTGAGGTCTTGGGAGAGCACGAAGCTCTTCCTCTCGGAGATATTTGAAGGGCTTTCTAACACTTGTCGTAGGCCTTTTAGCACAGGCCTCGATGTGTCTTTGCCTGAATATGGTTGTAATTCATCGATTTGCCAAAGCTACATGGCACGAAAACCTGCAAAATGCTCTTCTGAACTTCGCTGCCCTGCTGTCATCATTATTCCGGACTGGACCGGCATGGACGACTATGAGATGGAGCGTGCACGTATGCTAGCTGACCTGGGCTATGTGGGATTTGCAGCAGACATTTATGGCCGCGGCACCCCTGTTGAAGATCGTGACGACTGGGCCGCAGCAGCTGGAAGGCACCGCGGCGATCCGACCCTTTACATGTCGAAGATCAATGCAGCTTTAAAGCAGGTGAAGTCGTACAGTTTCGTAGACACTTCCAAGATTGCGGTCATCGGATACTGCTTTGGCGGCACAGGGATTGTCAATATGGCTATCCTTGGAGTAGATGTGCTGGGAGTCGTGGGGTATCACTCCGGGATCCAGCCAAACCGCCGAGTCCTGCGAAGCGATAGCACAGTTCCAGTCCGTGCGAAAGTTCTTTTGCATTCTGGGGTCCAGGATGATCTAGCAACTGACATTGCCTTGTTGGAGCGGGAGTTCGAAGATGCAAACGCAACGTTCGAGATCGTGCGCTACGGCTCCGACGTGCTGCACACATTTACGAATTGGTACGCAAATGATCCCGGTGTTGCTGTGTACAACCAGCGAGCTGACGTGAGGTCTTGGGAGAGCACGAAGCTCTTCCTCTCGGAGATATTTGAAGGACTGTGAAGCGCAAACTGCGCGCACCAAAACGTCTTGCGCTCTGTCGAACATCTGGAAGTGTGTGCAAGCCGTATCAGGACTCTCACCGCCTGTGCGGGCGCCGTCCCGGACAGTGGCCGGTGGTGTGAGCGAGGTGGGTTGGCCAATGGTAAGTCGCGAAGTGTCCTAAATTACTTTACTAGCCAGGGACAAGCAATAGCGCAGATCAACAGCAGACTGGTAGAGTGTTAGAAGACGCATCATCGAAGACATTGAATCGTTCGGACGGGCAGTCATGATGCAGAAACGCTGCTAAGGTCCTTCCATGAAGTGGAGAGAAGTCACCACCAGCGCCTTCAAGCTGAATCTGTGTGACCGGAGCCGGAAATTACACTCTGTCACTCGCGAACTGCAATAGCCGCTTTGCAGATTAAACCTCCACTCAGCGTGCAGGGCGCTGCGTTGAAGGATCATGCGATCCGAGTCAGTTCTCGAGACCGAATTCAATCTTCGTGTTTTCTCGTAGAGGGTCTGGCATTGGCCGCTGAAAAACAAGCGCCACTAGAACCCTGCGATTGAACAGGAGGTTCTCATTCCGGGCGACAAGATGTCTGGAGCATGACTTGTGTCGTGGATGAACGAAAAAATCGGCTCCGCTGGGCCGTCGGGCTGGGGGTGAGCGAAGCTGAGCCACAGCTGTCGGAGGCATCCCTCAAAGAGCCCGGTCGAGAGAAGCCCTCCTCTACGTCGCCTGTATCCCCGGCGCGGCAGGATGAACTGATTCAGAGCATTTAAATTTGGGATTGCATGGGACGTTTCGCACGCTAGTGATCATCTGACAGCACTTGTGTGGCTTTGGCTCGTTTGGACGTCCGTCATGATTTTCAGGATAGGTGCTTCCATGGCACCGGCCCGTGGCCACGTAGTTCTGAAGTTCAAGTGTCCCAGTCCTAGCGGCAGGATCTGAACCTGCAAGGATCAAGAGTCCTACCTGGACAGCCTTATTGCCGATTGCACTGACAAGTGCCAAGCTCAATGCGCGGCCCTGCAGAAGAGTCTGCACAGAAGCATCTTGTGGTTGTAGGCGACCTGATGTCGCGGCACCTGTCAAGTCCTTGGAAGGGACACAGTTCTACGACGACACACTGATCAAGCCAACAGTCACGGAGTGTGGTGTACCGAAGGCTGCACGAGACATGCCGAAGCGCCCGTCATCCCGTTGCACTCTTGGTTTGATGTGTGTCGCAGCCTCTTCTGAACAAGCAAGTGCTCACCTTTTTCAGGTGCTGACTCGCGTCCAAAAGGTAGCGATGGCGAGCGTCGACCCCGCAATGCAGAGGTGACATGTTTTGGGGCCGGAGTCTGTTCGAATCGCAGTGCGACTCCTAGCAGCTCTTTCCGGGTGCTGCGGACGATCAAATGCAGCAGCAATCGTTTTTCGGACAAGAGATCCTGCACAGAGTCAGGTATGCCTGTGTTGCTCAAGCAAACTACCATCTGCTGGCCATTCATCCGAAATCGTGCCTCTGCAGGAGATGCCTCGGGAACGCCCAGAGGCTCGTCGCTGCCAGCTGCCAGCAGCGTGTATTGCTGGGTTGTCTTGAGTCTTAGCTCGCCTTGGAGGCTCCGAGTGGTGGCTCCGGCCTCAGCCGCAGGCGGAGCCGCGAGAGCAGAGCGAGAGGGCGCTGTTTCGGCCTAGGTCCCTCTCCGGAGCGCGAGCGCCGCTCGAGGCCGGGCTGCCTCATGGCTCCTCGAAAGCTCTGCTGTCTGAGCGTGAACCCCTTTTGAGATCTAGCAGTTGAGCTTGTCGGCGGATCGTTTCATGCTTTCATTGAAGCGAAGCGCAAGAGGATGACCACATAACAGGCCGGGTCATCCCTTTGCCAAAGAAAGAAGAGCAGGGGAATGGCAAAGAGGAATTGGAAGGAAGACTGGGGACGTGCCTTCAGCAGCCTTGCTCCGGTCTGCAGGCGAGGCGATGAGGGGGACCGGGACCGCCGCGAGAAGAAGGCGCGGGCTGTTGGCATTCGGACTGATTGGGGCTCTTGGCTCTCGGGGTTCTGCCGGATGTTGCAAAGCCGTTCTCGCGGCGCCGGTCGCAGGAGAAGAAAGAGCGCAGTGTTTGGATCCCAGCTCCATCTGCAAGCAGCGTTTTCGCGAACAACTGCAGCCACTGTGATGAAGTTTGAGTCGTGTACCACAGAGAGCATGCGTCTGCTGCTTGCCCGCGATTCTGCCGTTGGCTCACTTCATAGGCGTTCTGGGTGTCGCCACTTGTGCCATTCCTTGGTGCTGCGAGCTCTCCGACCCTTTGGCTTTGCAGGCCGGCGATTCAGGCTATTCGGTCGAATCATTTGCTGACGCTGCTACTAGTAATGCCCTGCCAAGAGGGCCATGGCGATGCTCCTGTCGAGAGCCCTACGCTCGGGGCACTTGACCTCCTACTCCGCGTGCCTCACTTGGGTTGCCTGCAGTTCGTGACTGTCGCGAGTCTTCCAAAATCGTTGCCCAAGGGTTGGAAACTTCTCGCACTTCTCCTTGCGTCAGCGTTACACGCAGATGCTGAAGGCCCAGACCGCGCAGCCCTCAGTTATCAGATCAATCACGTATCATTATCACGTGTGACAGAAGACGTCGTAAAAGGGGCCTCCATAACTAGACCTGCAGAAGCTCTTCTTCACAGGATCCCACGCTGGCGGACTTCTTCTTTGAGAGCTACCTCCGCGCATTCTTTGCGGATCCGCCCTCCTACAACTACTGGCCGAGGGCCCAGCTTTTGCCGTCAGGCCACGAAGGTTGCTGACACCTCTCTGCAAAGAGAGCTTTGGGCGTTGCCCCCCCATGAGGTTCATCAGCATCGCGGCCTTCGGCGCGTGCATCGGCATCCTGTCTCGCCAGCCTGAGGTCTCAGCAAAAAGTGCAGAGCTAGAGGAACAGCTTGCAACTTCCCTGGCCGCTGAGGATCTTCTTCAACCCGGATGTCCGATCCACAGCTTCAGGAAGAGGCTCCGAGATCTTATTCTCGTTTGTATCGATAGCCGAGGTGATGTTCCGCTATCAGGAGAAGCGAAAGCCTCTGCCTGACCGCCACAGGCACCAGGGCTCTTGCAGTGCACTGAACACGCTGCAAAGCTTTCGCTCAACAGCATGGCAGCAGAAGAACGAAGAATGGGAGCGGGGTAGCAGGTGCTAAAGGGCCATGCAACATAGATTGTGCAGTCCAGGTTTTTGATTCATGCAACGTGTGGCAACCTCACTCACGGCACACAGTGCATGGGTCTCGTGGCTCCTGCTTTGTCGGAACGGCGAAGGCAGTGGACCTATTCCCTGCCTTTCTTCAACCACCGCCTGCGCCACCCGTCTGAGAAGAGACTCATTGAGGCGGACTAGTTTTCCGAAGATGCTTCACTCTTCTTCACCCTTCTTGCCACTGATCGGGGCGACGTATATCTAAGCCAGGACGCCTTGCCAAATCTTGCCGATCTGAGGCAACATGTGCTGCAAGTACAAGCCTGCGGCCAAGCCGAGTCTCAGTGTGACTGCGATTTTCAAGCTCACGATTTCAGGGCCTGCATGATTGACAACGAGCCGGACTGGGCCGACTATCACCCCCTGGGCTACCGCCCAAACCGGAAGCAGTGCCACAGGAACGGCACAGCCTTGCAAGCTCACTTCCCCCTTGAAGCGTGATCCCATGTTCAGTGTTGTTTTGTTCTTTCGAGAAAGCGTTTCGAGATGTCACCTCTTGGCTTGCCCGTCGGACATTCATATCTTCGCCTAAGTCGGTCGAGGGGTTGATGTGTGCAATGCAGTAATGCCGATGTATACCAAGGAGACGCATCAGTGTATCTGGCGACCGGGCTTTAGAGCTCCTGTCGAACCGGACTTTCTCGATGTCGGCATGCACTCGTGGCATATTTTCACCGGACCTTGAGAAGAAAGAATTGTACAGATTTACGGGGGGGATCTGAGTTTGCGCCTCCATCCGAAGGCAATGCAGATTGTGGGTGTGTGGCGAGCAAATCCGAATCCCAAACCTGAAATGGAGCTGTGGTTGAGAGCCCCAAAAACCTGAAAACGAGGTCAAGTGTTCTGTGAGTGGAAAGCTCCGTTGCCATCGAAAGCTTTTCCGAATACCCCCGTCAGAGCGGAGCAGGGGGTGCCTGGGTCACCACAGCAAGAATCGATGCTTGATGTCATAGCCAAGATTGGAACTCCGGGGGAGCACTGAAGTAGATATACAACAAAACTGACGAGGTGGGTTTGGGGTGAACGGTCTGTGAGTTTGACAACCTTGGGGAGAGTGAGAAGACGGAGATGTGGAGCAAATGTAGAGCGCGACCAGACATCCACTGCCCGTTGACAAGCAGAGCCCAATTTTATTGATGAGCTATGGAGGCAGGGAGCAAGAGGAAACCAGCTTCAACACTTTCTTGTCAGCCGAGGCAAAACCTATAGGTGGCTTCGCACCCACTCACATCCCTCCTATGAGGTAAAGAGGGTTGCTTTAACGAGTCAGTTCTTCCTACTACGCTGTGGGAGGGCATGGAGCTAGTGGAGGCAGTGCATGCTCTTCGGAGCTCAGCTTGCGAGTAGCAGTCTCTTCGTTTGTGGGGGTTGTTGGGTGCAGCAGGTGGTCGGGGTTTGAAGAACGTCAAGGAGCAGCGTGATGGTTCGGCGGGGCATGAAGCCGGGGAACTTTCGGCGTGGGCGGATAGGGGGCAAGAGTGGCTGCGTGGTCGAACCTTGCTGAGAAAAAGTGTGTAGCCAACAGCACGCATTTCTGCTGCTTTGGCGAGGGAGGGGAGGGGGTGGTAAGTCACCGATGTTGATGGACCATTAATCATTATTCCGAATGATGTACATGACAAGCATTGAGTGTAGCAGCGTAGCAAGCATTTGTCTCCAAACAGGCGCCCGTGGTTGTGGATCCTGACCATCCCTCGCTACACCATCGAGGACTTGACAGACTAGCGATGAAAAACTGGCACCGATGTTGTGATGCTACTGCCACAGGCAGTATGAAGCTAGGCTAACTTCCGGAACTGACATTGTGGAGCTGACAGAGTATCTGGCACTACATTCAGATAGATGGCGGCAGTGGCACCGGCATACCCCTTTGTGCCAGACTTGCGAGTGTGTTCGTGTGTGCGTGTTTTGTCGCCCCGTCTGGTGCTGTCGGAGGACCCCTTGTACACCTCCGTCACGCATGAGAACATGAACCGAATCTACGAGGAGCGCAGCTCCGACAGTCTACGACTGACACATCCGACGTGACTTGGGCCACAGGAGGTGGGCTACGTGAAGCCAGCCAAGACCGAGGAGGAATGAATGCTATGACTGCTATGAGTCTATGAGGCTATGAATGCTCCGAAGTCCGATAGGCCAGGCCTGCAACTAAGCGAGAGTGCTTCAGCTCTCTTAGTTCAGAGCACCTTGGTGAGGCAGCTCGACTTGATGCCTCGCTGCTCTGAGTTGCCCATGCAAAAAGCTCTTTCGACAGGGTCGTAGTCTAGAGCGTTCTCTTTAGGCATCGTTGTTCTTTCTTGAAACTACAGCCACCGCATTGTCAAACATTGTGAATTCCAAGTCGTGTTACCCGTGCCAGTGCCCTGGCCGTCAACCAGATGTTGCAAGTGTGTCATTCACTCTTAGACAGATGCTATTATTGTTCTGGTTTGGGCCTGGTCTTCCTGCGAGTCATCTGGCGCAGTTTTTGTCGTGTGATTCCGCTTGCAAAAAAGCCGTGGTGGTGCTGTGGTGCACTTCGCTTGGCCCTTTGCTTGGGAGTCCCCCAGCGAGCGATTTCGAGCAATTCGCCCCGCAGCTCGAGGCCCGGGAGCCTCGCGAGTCCCGCGAGCCCCGGCCGCCGGAGGAAGCCCCGGAGGCGGCCGAAGATCTCGAAGACAACTTCCCCCTTGTGTTCTGTACCCTTTTCGGGTTTCCATGCCTCCTTCACCTGCTGGGACTGTGCAGGCTCCTGCACCATCGCCGCCACCTGCGGAGAGGCTCTTTCTGTCGCGACCGACCGCAGCTTTGAATGTCTTTCTTGCTGCGAACGACGAGGGCGGAGAGGAAGCCACGGCGACCTCACAAGGAGGCCCGGCAGGGAGAATTTTATATGTCAAGCTGCGAGTCTGCTAGTCTAGTCAGCTGCAGCACGTTCGTGCACGTTGTCAGCTGCTGAGGCGTCAGAGGCGCTCGAGGCCAGCCCGCCGCAGGCACCGCTCATGGCCGCCGGTGAAGCGGAACGACGCGCTCCCCGCCTTTTGCAGGCACCGCCGGCGCGGCCGACCAATGGCCGCAAAGCCAGAGCCCCGATACCTACAGATTCTCCGACGAGCAATGGGCTCTGACGCAGGTGGAGGCACCCCACGTGGAGGAGGACCGGTTTTTCAGACTTGGGGCTTGTATTGCTTTTCGGGCTCCTGACGGGAGAGGGGGAAGAAGACGAGCGTGGGGTCTGAGAAGGAAGAAAAGATCCGATTCGAACACACTGCTTTAGATTCGAACGCCGATCAATCGTCAGACTGGTTTTGCCATTGCGATGGCGGGGAGACTCGGATTGACCGGACGATTGAATGTGAACTTGGCTGAAGTAGTCGTGGTAGCTGTGCTGGTGTTGAAGAGGTTGTATGTCGGAGATGCATAGGTCACTTCTGACAGTTGGATGGATGGACCCCCACGTCGAAGCCAGTGCCAACGAGTACAGCCTCAAGAAAGCTGCCCGTTTACTTTCATGCCTCTGACTCTGTACTGGCGGCCAGGAAATTGAGGTTCACGCTCCAGCTCCACCTGTGCCAAAGCCTGCGGAGGAAGCAATCGGCTATTTCGGGGTTGGCAGCCGGCCGTTCTTCGTTCCGGGGCTGCTGCAAACACTGAGTTGGATAAAGCTCTGGAGCTTTCGCGTGAAGGATTGCTTGCTTGTATGCTTCAAAGGGTGTGTAGATGTTTCAGCTGAAGTAGCAGACTGTCTGTTGCAGGTTCTAAGCATTCGCATCTTATCTGCATCTGCCAAGCTTGGCTCAAAGGGTTGCCAGGCCAAAGCCGTGCAATAGGCACTGGCTTCGTGAAACTCCTTCCTTTGTTGGGCCCGCATTCTGGAATCGATTCTCAGGACACTTGGAGTGGCACTAGTTGCGTCATAAGTTCTCAGCCCACGTGGCTTCAGCATCAGGAGGATGCCGGTAGTGGGAATTGTTGTCTGCGTAGCCGCACTATCTCAGCCTGCTGCCATCAAGGATGTCGTTCCGGGAACTTCGGAACTTCTGCGAGATCATGAGATCATTAGGGTATCATCGGCTGGTCTCCATGGTAGCTTGGCAAAAATATCGTTCGACGGGCTGAATCGGCTTGAGATGTGAAGTGATTCATGGTGCCTGACCGCGACTCATGCCTCAGGATAACTTCCGTCACTCGGCCTCCACTCAATCACCAGCTTCTTCAGTTTTAGTGGCATCCAGTTCAGTTGTACCACCAGACATCTTCCGCGCAACTCCTCCGCGCCCCAGAAGCGCGACTCTTCTCAGTGTATGGGTATCTGTGAGCAGTCCACGAAGGAACTCCGAATTTCGAGCTTGTGGCCGACGTCTTGGACTGGCTTCTGCATCGATTCGAGCCTGGATGCGCTATTCCGGACGACATCAGTGCTTCCGCTGGAAGACAGGAAATTTATTGCGTTTCTTGTGAGCATGTCGGATTTGACTGTGATGACTCAGGCACCGAAGCGGACAGAGTCCTGTTCATCAAGTCGGTGGTTGAGCATCTTGGTGTGAACTCTTGGGCTCTGGGCTTTCCAGTCTTAAATCTGCATCGCTGACAAGGAAGGTGGTGCTGAAGACCGGCCTCAAACTCAACCCCAAAAAGCTGTACGGTGCCGACGGCTATGCCGTCAAGGCCACGGGCGGAGATCCGGTTTCCGTTATCCATCGATCTCCAGACCCGGATTTCCACAGCTTTGGCCTGGCAGGAACTGCTCCGCCTGGCACAGGTGTTGTACGAGGTCGGATCCTTCTCGGTTGAGATTTTCCGCAATCTTGGAGTCTGACACGAGCCATGCTGCCTTAGTTTTGTCAGGATCTTCCTGTCGACCCCACATGCAGTATCGTTTCATTGTTGATGATTGCAAATTTGATTGGCCTTGAACTTCCGTCCGTGTCAAGATCTTCGGCCAATTTAACTGGGTCTTCCCTTTTGTATGTCGCCAGGCGCAGAGATCTGTTTCGGAAGTGCCCGCAGAAGGTCGCGGCGAAGACTTCACCCTAAACTCGAAGTCGCCTGGCGAATGACAGGGGCTGCCTCTGAATGCACATGTGCGCACATGCTAATGGGACCATGTTGGTGGATCTGCGACTCGGGCTGAGGTTAGCTGATCTGAAGAGCGACTCGCCCAAGCCAGCCTTGTGGCTCCGTGTTCGCAAGGCTCCGTCGTGTCGGCTAAGGCACGCGCTCCCTGTGCTCGCAGATCGTGGAAAGTGGGGCGACTCTGTTTGAACTGCTGCAGAAGGACTTCGACAGATGCTTGGAAATAAGAAGCCAGGGGCCTTCAAAGCGCTCGCAGACTGACCCGGCTTTGTCTGCAGGAGCAGGAGGTACGACAAGACCGAGAAAAAGCTTTGCATTTCTTAGAGGGTATGTCTCGCAATCTAGGCATCTCGGCCTTGCCAGCATATGAGCATTCCTAGCGGCTCTAGCCGCTGCCGCCGCTGCCCTAGTGTAAGCTCCGCCGGGCCTAAGGCAGCAACACTGAGAACGAAATGGTCGAGCGTGCCGCTCCCTGGCCGCAGAAGGCACTCGCTTCGCCGCTTCGCTGCCGCTTCGCTGCGGGTTGGCCGCTTAGGTTTCGCAGCTTCTTGGCAGCCATGGACAGAACCTCGAGCAGCTGAAGCAGATGTCGGACGAGCTCCAGCGAGATGAGAAGAGCCGGCATCCCAGCCGCCTTCGGAGCACACAGGCAACGACGGCCCGGCATTTCCAGGTTTGGAGCAGAAAATCAAGAAGAAAAAGCAGGACAGGTAGAATGGAGTATGGAGCATGGAGCATGATGGAGCCAAGAAGAGGCGCTGTGAGATGAACTCTTTCATGTCGTCGCGAAGGAGTTGGAGCGCTGCCGAAAACGGCTAGGCTCCCTGGCTTCGGTGCGCCCTGCCTTCATGGACGAGCCTGGTGGCCGCAAGCAGAAGCGAGAAGCAGAGGACGTAATTAAGCATCGTGAGATATCATGAGTCTCCTGAACTGCTGCTGAATGCAAGTGCAGCGTAGACAAGGTACGAGACGCTGGAACAAGAACTCGAGAGATATTACGAACAGTGCCCCGGCAAAGCTGGACATATGCACTTCACGTGGGTTTAAATGTCTTAAATGTCTTCATACAATGCCTGTGCTGGAAGGTATGTCGGGCGTTTTCGAAATCTCGACTATTTGGAGCATGCTGCTTGGATTGATGTTGTTGGCTGCATCAAAGCTGAGTCGAAGAGGTTCAGCAAATCTGCAGCCTATGGCAGGAAATCGATATGCTGAACAAGGAGGCATGGACATAACAGAAGACTCCGGGGCATTTTGCATGACCACTGCCTTTCATGCATCACCTAGTTTGGCAGATGCCTTTCATGTCGTGTGGGATCGTCAGGAACAGGAGCGAATGGAAGAGAACGACCGCGCACTGAAGCGTGTCTTGGCAGACTTGGCGGGAGGCAAGCCTGAGCTCCGGCCTTTCGGAGCTGCGACCTTGAGAGGCATGCAGAAGCGTCTTCGCGATGAGGAGTGGAGATTGCTCCGTGGAGAGGAGGACATGTGAAGACGGATTTCGGTCGTTGGTGCATGCAGGCTAGCCAGGTTCTGCACAAGCGTACATGACCGGCGCGACATAGTGCAGGACGATAAGGGGAAAGCACGCAAGCCGAAGAAGATCCACGGCCAGAAGAGGCGCGGTAGCTCTTCCAGCACTAGGCATTGGTCGACTTTTAAAGCTGCAGTTGAAAGGTGGATGCCTCCGTCAGCAGTGGATGCTGTGGACGGCTCCATGGAAGCCGGGGATGACGAGGCCCTGTGGGCTGTGAGAATTTGCCAACATGATGCTCTAGCAGCTCTCGTCCAGGAGTCATCTGAAGGCTCCAACAGTGACAGTGACCCGCCAATAAGTGTGGGTGGTGGCTCGGCTGGACTCTGCACGGCGGTTTCGATGCAGCGGATCTGTCGTCCAATTGCAAAGGTTCGGAGGACTCCGGTGGATTGGGCCCAGGGCCGCGTGGTGGTGTCCTCGGACCTGAGCGGGAACGCGCCCTGGCGCAAGACTGGGGCGGACTGATTGTGGAGCTATGTACTCGTAGCTTCTCTGATGGGACCGGGCAGGACGTTACTTGTACTAGGACCTGCTCACAAACAGGTGCTGTGTCGCCTCCTGACGGCTCGGTGCTCATCGGCGGCGGAAACAGCGTGCCGGCGAAGCTGCACAAAGACCTTCTGTTCACCTTCACTACTCAAGATAGAGCTGAACTTGTCATGATGCAGGGCATCTGCCCGTTTTCAGGTACTAGACGCAAGGGATCGTTCGTTCTGAGAGCAGTGCTGGTTCGTCGAAGCAGACAAGACTGACCCTGATCGTTCTTCGAGGTCCGACGATGACATACTGAATGAGTCCGACGAGGAGGAGCTGTCAGACGAGGCTGCTCGACGGAGAAGGGCTCGAGCGAGGCATCCACTTTCGGTACTTCCGTGATCCAAGGACATAGGAGGATCTGGACGGCACCCTCAACCAGGAAGTGACTTTGACTTCTGAATGCTGCGTGGACATATGTGCAGATGTGCAGTAGCAGCTCAAGCACGTCCTTTCTGGCTCGGCCTCTGCAGATCCGCAGAAGGGTTTCGAGCACGCCGCCGTATCTTCTTCAGAGACCCCTTTGTATCGTTTCACCCAGGCCGCAATTCAATTCTGCAGCTCCCCTCCAGTAGCAATTGATTGCGGTACGGTGCGGTACGGCAGATCTCCGTCTCCGTCTAAAGTCAGCCTTGTTTTCTGAAAGTTGTGTGATCTCAGGGAGGCTTGAATGCAGGATTGGAATCCACAGAAAGGTCGCGAGCCGAAGGCCATCGAATCTTTGCAAGCACCAGGAGCTATGTAGTCAGTTTGCTCCGGGCTGCGTGGCCATCCTGGGCCATGTGTGTCCAATGCATGTCTTACATTCATCGTGCCGCGCAAGAACTCAATTCTGTGTGCAGTTTTGGGAATTCCAGTGGTGATGGAATGATCAGTCCCAGCTACTGGGCATCTCCAGGAAGAAGTGGATGATGATATTGAGTACGACGAAGATTTCGAGGAAGCGGATGACGAGGACGGTCCTGTGCAAGTTTTTTCTGAAGCTTTCGCGTCGTAAATTGTTCCCCGCTCTCTGAGGAGGAGTATATCCCCCAGATTAAATCCTCGTCGCCGTCTCCCCCGAGCCAATCGCCGGATGGGCGGCTTGGACAATGCAGCCGTTGCTGTTTGAGAAATGAGTTGAACCGTGTCCCTCCAAGGACACCCAACAAGGCGCTGCAACTCGCGCTGCGCTCGCCTTGAGCCAAGTCTGCCGGTGATCGTCTGTCAGGTCACTTTCCGACCGATGTCCTCGCAGTCTCTTCGTGCGCCCACGCCTCCGCTGGGGAAGGTGCCATCCGCACAGTTATCTGACATCTGCACCTTTCTTCTTGGCACTTGAACTCTTGAACTGGGGTGCAACCTGGGTGGCAGGAGTCGCCAGTCTCTGCGTCAGCCATTAAGAAGGTGGCGTCCAGATCCGCACACGAGGCCCTTGTGAAAACAAGCAGAGAAGCATGCCTCAGGCAACGCAGAGCGAAAATGAGAGGATGGCGAGGACGGGACAGTTCTCTCTCACGTTCTTGAGATAGCTGGATGGCGATTCCTCTTGAGTGAGGAAGTCACCGATGCCGACTTCGCCGGACATGGGCAGGCCGGGGCGCTTCGGCTGCCGTGGAGACTTGAGACTTGTGCCGCTCCGCTCCTTGCTCCAGGAAGCGGGGAGGGGGACTCATGGCCGAGTACGAGTCGACCATGCCCAAGTTCAACCTGGCTGGCAGCGACCTGGCTGCCTCTCCCCCGGACGGCGGACGCCTCTTTTCGGCTCCAAGAGCCAAGGTGCGTCGCCTGCGCAGCGTGCGGCACTTGCAAGGTGCGGAAGCATTCTCCGGTCAGTATAGAAGTCGAAGCAGAGGGTCACCTTCAGGCTTCGTGACCTGCGAGACTTGCAAATTCCGAGCAAGCGTCAGCCCCAGCACAGCGGCGCGAGCTTGAATCAGGAATTGCTTAGTGCAGCATAACTCGTCAACGACCTCGAGGGCCTCAAGTAGCTGTGGCGATCCCTCTGATTGCCTTCCATTTCGTCTCGAAGTCCTGTTCAGTTCACCCAGCGCATGTCCACAAGCCAATACATATGTGTACAAGAACTATTTGGCGGCCTTTGTCCTGGACTCTCTCCCTCTCTAGGACATGGTAGAAACGAGCTCAACAGTTGTGCTGCTGTTCTTGAACGACCCCAACTCCCGTGCCGCACTGGCCACAACTTAGCCCAAGCGGCATCTAAGTACTCGTACTATGGAAGAACTTGTTTGAAGCCCAGGGTGGCAGCCCTTGACTGAAAGGATTTACTCACATGAAGGTGGTGCCAATTTCATGGAAGTCGACCTTGCCTGCGAATCTAAGGCTGGGCATCGAGGTTGGAAACCTTTTCCAGCAGAAGCCACAGCAGGCTGGCTGGTTGTAGAATTGAAGCACTTTCTGTCTATGACGTCTATGTCGCGGGCGAGGGCGCAAGCCAAATGAGTCTGCTGCTTGGCTCCCGTGAGGACATCCAGCTCTTTCTTGCCGGCAAGTCCCTGAAGTATTGCGAGCGCCCAAGGGATTTGGCCACCTGGTGGTGTCAACGCAAGCAGCTGTTTGCCCATGTCACCGAGGCAAGCTCAAGACAACCAGCTGCCAAACAGGCCCGGTCAACAGACTTAGACCTTGTTGAGTTTCACATGCACTTCTCCAGAAAGTACGTTAAATATGATTCGGCATGCATGCATCCGGATCGGGGCAAGGAAGGGGAGCCAGAGGAGTAGGAGCAGGAGAAGGCGGAAGATGAGGATGGGAGGAGAAGGGGAGGGTTTAAACACCCGAGAGGGAAGCTTAGACGTTGCATTCAGGCGATGATGATGTGGAAGTGGGAGTCAACACGGATGAGGTTTGGACGGACGACAAGGAGCTCCGGGGATGTGCATGGCCGCCGTGGTTCAAGGGTTCAAGGCTACAAAGGGGCCTGCACGCTACATGCAGACGCCTCCGGCCGTGCAAGGAGATGCAGTTCCCAACCTTGACAAGCGGCCAAACAGCCAAGCTCATGGCTTAGACTTGAATAGAAAGTAGGTTTGCAAAAGGTGCAGAATCTGGGCCATTGCTGCAACTACTGGTATCGGCTTGGACATGGCAATGGTAAAGTTATATGTCATGCTGACGTAGCTACGCGCCTCTTGGAGGTCAACCGGGGCGGAGGCACAGCTTCTTCCTTTCCTCAGGCGCACGGTTGGAAACTCGACGACGGAATCGACGTTTGCGATCTAATCAACCATCGATGTAGTGTTGGATGGATATGGTTTGCAGAGAAGGCGAGTGCTACCCCTTTTCGAAGCATCCATCGTGGAGGGCAACCGTGGAGCCCCTAGCTACATCCTCTTCCTGTGAGACTTTACATCTGAGCAGCTACAGGCCGTGCTGGTGTTGTTGCGCCACCACCTGCGGATGAGCAGTTGGGCCAGACTCTGGTCCGGGCACCCGGAGATGCCCGGAGAATCCCTGCGGCCTGCGGCCTGCACGTCTGCTCTCAGGTGCGGTGCTCGCTGCCAGAAAGTTTCGTTTCCACGTTCATAGGCCTGTCTGGTGTGCTGTGTGCTCCATAGGCAGTAAGCCGCTGTATGGGGCCAATTCTCCCGGTGCCCAGCGATGCAGGTGCTTGGCCCTCGGTCGTAGACGTGTCCATCGTGGAGAAGTGGTCCACTGGCTCCAGGGAGCAGCTGTCGATGCCACGGCCCGACATGTGGCTATTTCAGGTACGGGGCAGACCACGCCTTGGCACTGTACGGCTGGGAAGAGGCGCCGGCTGGCGGCTGCAGAGAGTAGAGACAGTTGAGAGAGTGACGAGATTTCTTTGGGAAGTGGTAAACGGACACTAAGACACACGGGTCGGGTCGGAGACTCGGAGGTGGTTCGGCCTCCGCCCAGCGAGATCCTCGGCTTGGCCAACTTCATGAGGCCCATCCGGAGCCTGGCCCGGGTCCCGAGCATAGCGGAGCTCACTGCTACGAAGGTTCTTTCAGGTTCTTGAAAAAGATCTCGGGTTCCTTTGCGAGGTGGGTCTTCATCCGATTGTGCTCGGTGGCTCTGGAGGTGTGCCAGGGCCGCCTCAGCCCGATCCGTTGATCCGTTGATTGGTGACCTTCCTGCAGCACAGCGATTTGCAGGTGCTTCTACCCGCCCTGCACGGTGTCTGTATGCTTTCTGTCGCTCCGCGGCACATGCGGCATGCTGTACGTCTCCATCCGATGCATCTGACGATGCATTCTGACATGCATTACCGATGAGAGGTCGCTTGAGCTCCCTGACGGTCGTGAACGGCAGGTCATTGAGCTAAGATGCGACTGCAGTCAAGCTCAGGAGCCTCGATGCACTGAGGTCTCACCTCATAGTGGCAGGCTCGGAGACAGGCTCTCTCCTGGTTTTGACCTCATGCGCATTGATTTTCTGCTGCACTGACAGTGCTGGTCCGGTGTGCTGCCACTCATTTCTCAGGTCTACGATCTGCGGGCGAGAGCGAGAAGTCCTGCAGACCTGCAGGGAGAAAGTGAAGGCAGATTGTGTATGACAGTGTAGGAGACACCTGACCTCCAGTCACCAGCTCAGTCATAGAGTGCGCAGGCCCCCCTCCGAATCCTGATGCTGACATCGCTCACTTCGAGGCAGTGGTGTGCTGTGCTGTGAGGCTGTCAACAAGAGCTCTCACGCCCGCAGGGTCCGGTCTGGCTCCCGTCGGCGTTCTCGACGGACGTCTACGTCAATCTGGCGGACTTGAATCCTTGACTGTGGCACTTGTGGGTTTTCTGTTTACAACGGAACTGCCATGATAGGCATTGGGGCCAACTCAGCGAGAGTGCGGGACTGAAGAAGCCAAGAAGGGAATACTGTTGAACTCGAGGCAGCTAATTAGTGATGACAGCATGGACTCTTCTGTTATGATCATTTGGGAAGGAAGTTGGTGTCACCTGATGTGGCGTTGCGAGGTCTGACATTGGTGAGCAAAATGGCATCCTGCCTGTGCCTTGAGAGAGCCTTTGCAAACCAGGCCAGTGGACCCGGACGGAACTTTCGCACCAAGGTCCGAGCCTTTTGGCTTTGACGGAGCCCCTGCCCTAGAAAATGCCAGACGAGTGTTCGGAAGCTTTGAAGCTTTGCTCTCCTTCTGCCCAAGGATTCGTCCGGAGTGCACGAGGCAGAGGCGGTGCTCGTGAGGATTTCCAGGGTGTCAGGACCATACGGAAATTCGACCTGTCCTGCGCAGATTTGCTGCGTGCGCAGCTCGGACATGGCTGCCGGAGATGCGCTCGTCTTTGCCGGGTGCTTGGTTGTTTGTTGTTCTTGATTCTGCACGGCACGGGCGAGAACCCGCTCTTTCGAGCCGTTTGAGATCCGTCGAGCCGCAACCGCTTCTCCACTTCTGAAGAGGGTGGAGGGCCATCATTGGACGACGTGCTGCCATGGACGTGGGCACGAAGTTGTCACAAATCCCAAGGCAGGGCACGACATGTAATGTCAGCGTAGTAGGTTGCAGACTTCGAAGCACTGGGACAGCCGGACCCTGGAACAAGGAAAAGGGAGCGGCCAAAGAAGCCAGAGCTGTCTTGGCACTTGCTTCACGACAGTGGAAGATTGGAGATCTCAACCGAGCGCTTCGTGCAGCGTGGCATCAGTTTTTTGAAGGTTCTCTTCTGTGAAAGGGTTCTGCAACAAAGCTCGCAGATGTGCAGTGCAGGCATACAAGGTTCGATCAGCCTGGGAGGCTGCCTCTCTGCAACTTGGACGCAGATTACACTGTCGAAGTCGACTCTAAGCAGGCCATCACCGGATGACTGAGTCCGTTGACGCCTAGGCTTCTAGCAACGTCTGGTCAGAAGAGTCTTCAGGCAGATGTTGTCTCGTGCCTGGGATCGACTATTGGCAAAAACTGTGAACGGCCATCAAACCCACCCCAGACTCCATGCGATTGTGCGACGCAGGTACACAATGTTGGCGAGTGCGAGTATGCGCAAAACTTGGGAATGGGCAATCGGCATCTTTGCGGATGTGTTGCTTGGAAAACCTGAGAGGGGAAGGTGTCGTTCCACGTCCGACTTGCCAGCTCTGAATACCTGAGTAATTCCTGCCTTACGGGGCTTTTGGGCTTTGGAGAAGTGAGTGTGAGATGCGCCGAGGGCTCGCAAGGACGTGCTCTTGGACAAGGCAGGGCATGTAGAGGCTTGACGTTCCAGTGTTGCCGGAGACGCAACCAAGGTAGCGGAACTCACACTTTTCACTGGCTTCGCGGCCTTGGGCAAGTGGGTAGCTGCGCTTTCCTCGTTTGCAGACTTGCAGGCTTGTTGAAAGATGGCCGCTTCATGGACATGCATGTAGGCCGTAGGCTTGTCTCCAGCAGGTTCAGCAGACGGAAGTGGACCAACAGATGGCCAGCTCTGCAATGACTTCTTGTGCCGGGCGTGACACCTGGACCTCTGCGATTGTACAACCCCAAGATGAACCGGTCAACAGAACAACTGCTGTCCTTGTTCTCGGACTGCTATGCTGCTCACTGGAAGCACCAGGCTTTGAGTTGCGAGCTTCAGATGCTGTCCGTAGAGATTGACACCGCTTCTCGGTGGCAAGCACTGTGGCTGGTGGGGTTGCAGAGCTGGCAGCTGTATCTGTATGGAACAAAGGAGTTGCGACTCGATGAAAAGCGGGAAGGGTTGCAATTAGCGCTGCCAAGGCTGTCGTCAATTCTGCAATGAGTGCTGTGAGCGGTGCCGGTGGCTGGACGTTGGCGCTGTCAGCGCTGGAGGACAGCCCGCTCACAGAGGTTTCACGTCTTCGTTTCAAGTCTGCTTCGACTGCTAAAAAGGATGTTACTACGCGGCAATCGATTGACGTGATATCGATAAATGCTGCTCTCAGCCCCCCTGGCTTGAGGGACAGAGGAGTGTTCGCAGGTTCTGTGATCTAACGATGTTCAGCTTGTTGATCCCATTGACCTTGCCAGGTGCCTGCGAGCGATCTGGGCAGTGGCAGCCCGCCATGTCCCTCTTGGAAGGATGCTTGCCGTCGGTACCAGACATCGTATCTTACGGTACAGCGGTCAGTGCCTTTGAGAAGGAAGGTCGGTGGGAAGAGGCTGTGTACCTTCTTTCTCGGCTGCCAGAGGTCAGGATTGCCGTTGATTTATCTTTCTACAATGCCGTCATTTCTGCGTCCGAGAAAGGCAGTCGTTGGCAGATGGCTCTTCGACTGTTGCCCATGATCTCAGTCCTTCGGCTGGAAGCTGACGTGGTCAGCTACAGCAGTGCTATTAGTGCTTGCCAGAAATGCGACGAATGGCGAATGGCGCTGTTGTTGCTCTCGGAGATGAAGATGATCCATGTCAAGGTCGACACAATCGCTTGCAATGCCGCAATCTCTGCAAGCAGCTGGCTGAAAGCCCTCGGGCTCCTGAACACCATGCGGTTCTGCGCCATGAGAAGCACAATCATCACCTTCGGTTCAATCATAAGCTCTTTTGAGAGCATTGGAAGATGGCAGCTGGCTCTGCACATGCTGCGTATTAGCAAGATGCAGACCCTGCGCTTGCAAGATGTCACCTGCAATGCAGCTATCGGGGCCTGCGAGAAGGGAGTAAGAAGGGCCAGCCAGCACGAGTCGAAAAAAGGATAATTACTGACCTGTGATCGCCCCGAGCACAGGGAGGGTCTCCGAAAGAGTGTCGCATATGCGGAATCCGAGGCTTTGGACATCACCGGGACAGTCAGCTTTTGGCGGGTGCTAGAACTGGCTTCGGTGGGTCCTGACCCTGGCCTCCCTGGACTTGACGGGATGCTTGCGTACTGCGTGCCCGAGAGCTGAGGTGTCAAGCTTGCCTTGCAAGGCAGCCTCGCCCTCGCTCGAGGCCACTCGACTGACGAGCACTCATGCCGACACTCTGCACAAGACGGAGTTTGCTTTTGCTTCTCACTTGTTGCTTTGCCACCGACTTCTCGTCTTCGGCCAAGTTAGGATTTGCTTTGCGACTGTGTGGCAGGCCCGCACTCTCACGTGCTTGCCGACTTCCTCGGTGCCTCGTATCTTTGCATCCATCCACAGCAACAGGCCTGGCTTTCTTGCAAGCTGCTTCGCCTCACTCATTTCATTCACTCCCAGGGACAGTTCGTAGCGCTATCCACAGCTGGAATCCGGCAAGCCAACAGTCTGGCCAGCATGTTTGTCACGAATTCCATGATTCGCGCGAGCCAGCGTTGTGGCCAGGGCAACGCTCTCTTACCTCGAACGTGGCGGATGGCCCCAGGACCGAGATGTGACGAAGCGGTGTGCTTCTCACGGTCAAGACTTGTCACGAAGGAACCTGGAGCTGTTGAGACACGCCGAGGAGGCCTGGTGGCCAAATGTCGGCTCTTCATGAGTACAGCGTGTGAGTGCCAGGAAGAAGGCCTCCTGCTTCCGAGTGACTCCTTCGCATCCCAGCCTTGTAGTGGACGGCTTACTGCCGTTGTGGCACAGACGCTTTTGTTCAGGCTGCTGCTGCAGTCGCGGCTGCCCAAACAAGTCAAGCAGCATTTAAGGTGGTGCCTTCAATCCCTTTTTTCCTGGGCTGCTATTAGTGGCATTCGCCGAAGGCGCAGCATGCACATTCGGACTTTTTGCACGTGTCACAGGGAGTTTAAGTGTGCATCTGTGTTTGCATGTTCGTTCGTTGTTTGTTTGGTTGTTTCTTTGTACATTCGGGTGCTTTTGTTGTAGTTGTACGATGTTGCACTATTGTTCTGCTTCTTGGCAAGTCATGTTCAGCTCGGTGGAAGCACGATGTGGCAGTGGTGGTTTGAAGACATGGCAAGGCGATCTTGCCCTCTTTGACTGCTCCCTATGTGTGCCCGTGACGCACTGGGCAAGTGCTGTTGGCAAGGCAGGTCACGAAGAAGTCCAGCAATGGCAGTGCTCTTGATCGTGGTGTTTCGTCATCCGCACACACGAGCCCTGATGAGCCCTGAGCAGGCCGCCGGCGCAACAATCTCAGTTGCATGGTCTACCCGGAGGCAGGTCTCGTTGGAGCAGCTGAAGGTCAGCAATGTTTGTCAACCCGCCTCGGAGAAGGCCATGTGTGTTCTTCGTGAAGTGTGGTGACATGCTGGATGTCTGACGCTCGTATCCGGTACTGCGGTACGCTGGGGACACATGCTCCGTGAGCTGCGGTGTAGACTGGTTTCTTCTGTCTTCGTGCACGGTCGTTTTCAACCAACGAGATTGCACTTGCATCAATGCTAGAGGTGTGGGACCTTGCGGAGAGGACCCATGTCCCGGTGCACAGCACCACTCTGGAAGGCATCTAGAGCAGTCTGCGGTTTTCAACCTGCCCTGCAGCCTTGATCGCGTGCCAGCCGCCAGCCTGTCCAGACAGCAAGGTGTGGGAATGCTGCCATATGCTGCAACACTGGCTCAGGACGCATGTCCGATATGTTGAGCTTACATCGTGTGGCCGTTTACCAGTGTTTATGGGGAAGTGTGTCCTTGAAAATTTGGACAGTTGCTCTCATGCGCACACTTGGGATTTAGTTCAATACGCAGTGTCACAGCGTGGTGCCAGTAGCTGACGAACGTCTTAGTCGTCTTAATAATACCTCCAGCATTGATGCTGCATGCAGTGGCACTGTCGGGCAGTGTCTTGGCGTCCTGGGATCATGAAGCACTATGCGAGCTGATTCCAGAAGGTGTCGCGGCTGCATGTTGGTATGATCGCAGGGAGTCAGTCAGACAAGGATGTTTAAATGCTGGAAGGAGAACACCTGGACGAGGCTATCAAAAAACAGTTGCAGCCACTGACTCTTGGCTGTGCTGTCGATGGCCCCCAAAGGACCGGTCGTGTCAGATTGACTTTGGCTTCGGACTGAGGGTTGGCGCGTCGCCTTTCCAGCAGCGCCTCTACCTTCGTGGCGAGGAGGCCGGGTGGGAAAGGGAAAGGCTGCAGTGGTTGGCATTTCGGCACTTCGGATGCAGCTATGGCAGGTTCTTGATGTTGTACGAACCTCGTCGAACCTGCCGCCAGAGGAGGCCTATCGACTGTTGCGAGAAGTCACATGTGATAAGATTGAGCTGCGACAGTCAGTGCATGCCAGGAGCTACAAGTGGTTGTTTTGCCACTGAGATACGATGCCGCTGCGGACCTTCGTCTGCAGTCCGCTGCAGGTTTGGCGTAGTTGGAGAGTCTCCAGCGGCAGTGAGACATCAGAGTCGTTTGTTTGCTTGAAGGTGACCTTGCAAAGATCAAGCAGTTGCTGCGCGAACCCCAAGCTCCGGATCCTCTGGCGCGGCCTGGCTTGCAGAAGACGAAGCCTGCCGTCCCGCAAGTCGTTGCTTTGAGGCCATGTGAATTTACACCGCTGCAGCTCGCCTCGCGGTATGGCCACCTGGAGGTGAAGCATAATTCAGCATGTCAGGGCTGCCATGTGAAGGGCTCTGCGTGCTGGTATAGATCCTGCTGGAGCAGGTGGTTCGAGCACTTCTGGCTGCGGGCGCCGACAAAGATCGACAAGGAATCTCCGGAAGTGCTCTCATCCAAGCAGCACAGCATGGGCCGAAGTCTGGGCAATCGGCAAAGTTGTCTACGTTGCTACTGCTGGCAGATCATGCGTTCCAAGTATGGGAGTCCAGTGTCTCGTCGCAGGTGAAGGGCTGTGTGAGTGCCAGCTTTTGTCTTCCAGGACTGGCCGAAAGCACACCCTTGTTGGAGGCGGTGGACCACCAGCACTTGCACGTTGCTGGCCTCATGCTACACCCTGCCTTGTGGAGAGTCCAAGCTAACAGAAGTCGTTGCAGTAGAGGAGTGATCGGTTCGTGTCGGCCGAGCATGCTGCAGGGAGCGCTGAGACGCTCAGGTTGCTCGTCACCTCCTCCGGCTTCGCGCGGACATCGGCAAGGCCGGCCTTGGAGGGACGACGCCCTTGCTCGTGGCCGTGGAGCGGGGGGATCTCCAGGCGGCAAAGTTGTTAGTGGAGAGTGGCGCCGACACAGAGCAGCCAGATGCAAGCGGCCTGGCACCACTGCATGCCGCCTGTGGACACCTGGATATGGTCAAGTTCTTGCTTGGCATGAGGGCGAATCAGAATGTGCAGGACACGAATGGAAAGACGCCCCTACGTATCGCTGCTGGAATTGGCCATGCAGACGTGGTGGAGTGCCTTGTGCTGTCCGGTGCTGACAGGGACATGGCTGATGCTCTGCTGGTTTCGCCGCTGTGGGCTGCTGCCCGCAATGGGAGAAACGATGTAGTCCAACACCTGCTTGATGCCGGTGCTGACCAGAACCAGGCTGATATCGATGGTGAGACGCCCTTGAGGGCTGCAGCTGAGCACGGTCACCTCGAAGTAGTTCTGCGTCTGCTGAGAGGATATGCGGATGTAAACAAAGAGGACATTGATGGGAGGACTCCTTTGCTGGCCGCTGCTCATGCCGGGAAGTTGGAGGTGGTTGAGATTTTGCTCCAATGGCATGCCGTCGTGGATTGTACTGATTCAGAAGGTCAGACGCCGTTGCTGGCGGCTTCCGAGCATGGCTTCGTGGATGTTTGTCGGAGTCTGCTGGACAAGCATGCCGATGTAAATCATTGCCGGGCGGATGGCACGACGCCTTGCAAGCTGGCTGCACAGCGGGGGGAGTTGGAGGTCCTGCGGCTCCTCCACGTCGCAGGCAAGCAGAATGCACTGACGTGTCTCTGTCGTCTCTGTTGTTTCTGAGCTTCCGCCTGCGGAGGCGCTCTCGTCGACGTTTCGGATCCTTTGGGCGTCACGCCGCTCTGGGCTGCGGCCAGCAGCGGCAAGCTCCATGCACCTGGGCTCACTTCGGTGCACCTGCAAGGGGACCGCGGACCGCGCTGTGTGTGCAGAGCTTCGGGCGCCGGAGGTCGTTCAGTACTTGCTGGAGCAGCGTGCTGATGCAGCCAAAGTGTGCAGAGGTGCCACAGCTGTGTTTGCGAGTTCAGTCGAGTGGACTGCACTTGCACAAAGTGCCGTTATTGTGCTGCGATTCGTCTGTGAAGGCGGGCAGAGCTGCCTGCAAGCCGCCTCCCAGCGCTGCCATTCGCAGGTGGCGGCCAGCGCCAGTACCTTCTTTCGGCTGCAACATCTGTTCTGGTCAGGTGGTTTCGCTTCTGACACCCTTGGACCACCAGAGCAAGCGCCGCAAAGTCGGCGAGTAGCAGAGGAAGCGCTTGGATGTGTTGCACCGAAAGACCTGCGGCAACTTCACTAAGTGATTTCCCTTGTATCACCCAAGCAACGATGTGATGTGTGGAAAAGACAACTCATGAAGCGATTTTCAGCACATCCGTGCTGTTGCGAGGAGGAAGTCTTTTGCAGCAAATGCATGTGCATTGTCAATGCCAGATGGCGGCCCTCCGCGTCCTCCCTCGGCTGTGCCAAGCTGCTGCGAGCTCTTCGTGAGCCTGGGTCTCGTATGACAGCTCAGACTGTGACTGGACATCAGAAGGTGTCGGGGAACTTTGTGTGTCGAGTCAACACGACGTTGCAGAGAGGCGCTGATGGTCGACCCGTGGTTTCGATCGGAAGCCGCGGCCTTTTCAAAATGCCGAACTAGAGATTCAACCTAACAGTGCTGAGAGTGCAGAACTTATGCACTCGTCTGTGCGCTGTGGGCGGCTGCGGCTGTGGCGATGCCTCAAGGGAGAGAGCTCTCTAGTTTCAGAAACTCTGCATCCATTCCATGCGGGAGCATCTCGCAGTCCTGTTGGAAGGCCTAGGTCTAGGACCCGGAAGCCTTGTCACCATGTTCGAGCTCTCTCTTTAGAGCCATGGCCCTTACGCTGTCCATCGGACTTCTCAGTGGCCGAACTACCCAGGAAGGGCCCTCGGAACTGCAACATCCCAGTCATAATGCTATCATCTTTAGATTCATGTCGTGAACGTCTGACATGCGGTAGGTTTCTGTGGACTCCGATGTCTCGGGCGCCGAGCTGCAGCGTCGAGCAGAGGTAGGCATTATTCCAGCTCTTGCGAAGGTCTCGTCGCATAAGCAGTCGTCCCTGCCTACAGACAGGCCGCACTGCGGACGGAGTTGGCCGGCTTGGCGACTTCGTTTGATATAGCGTTGCTTGAGTGTGTGGCGTGCTGATTCTGCTGGCCACAGGTCACCGCTGCAGGAAAGACCTTGCTGCTTGGAGAAGTGTAGGGCGGGAGATGGGCGTGGTTATGTGCAGCTCAAGTCCCCGAGTCTCAGGACCGGGTCTGAGACTCTCAGACAGGCCGGTATCCGTGATGGCGATGCACTCAGTGCAGTCGCAGGACAGATGGTTTTTGCGTCTGAGAGAAGAGATTCTTCACATTCATAGCTTCACGGCCTGTGACAGGAAATGCCCCTGGAAGCGTGCCCAGCGCGAGATTCATGTCGGCCTTTGTTTCGGGACTTAGCCGGAGTTTTCAATGCCCCCTCTACTTGCTGCAGGATTTGCGCTGTGATGGCTCAGGCTCTAATTCGTGGCGATGGAAGCGTGGCTGCCTGGGGCGACAGGGCATGCGGAGGCTTGCTGTTAGTCCCGACACGAGCTCAGCAGAAGCTATCGGCCACTTTGCAGGTGACTGCAGCCCAGTCGCAGACGAACTCTTCGCCGTGACGCAAATCCAGGCAGCGGAATGACTTTGGACTCGACATGCTTCCAGCATCTTCCAGCTGCCACAAGCGCCAGACCTCGTCCTCTGCCTTTGCAGCCTTGCGGCGCGATGGTGGAGTGGTTTCCTGGGGTAATCCGAGGACGCTGTGCACTGTGCTTCCAGGTCTGGGTTCACTTGCACCCTTGTTTTGGATCAATCAATCACATCTTTTGTCGGGGTCACCTGCGCATGTTTGCAGATTTCCCTCAAAAACCTCGCACGGAGTTTGAGGGTTTAGGGTTTTGGGGTGTGGGTCAGGATCTGTGGCTCAGGGGGTTGAAGGTTCAGGGCAGCTTAGGGGTACGAGTTTCGGGGCACGGCGGGATCATAAGCAGAGGGGGTTTACGGCTTGAAGTGGATTGAAGTGTTTAGTCGAGGGCGCTCTGGCGGTTGGGGGGTTTTAAGGTTTAGTGGTTTGGGGTGTTAGATTCATGGTTTAGGATGTAAGGATTTTTCAAGGTTTGATGGGTTCCGTGAGCGTGCAGTAGGCTTCCGACCATCCTCACGCCAAGACCCCTTGCACAAACACTTAAAACTCCAGAGGTTTTGAGGAATTTTAAGTTTCTCGGGGTGCTTCCTCTTCGGCCGAAATTTTTGCAAGACCATGCTACACAGTGCATCTATTGTGGTTTGCGGATCTTTGCGACGTTACTTCTTCCGTAGATTTGGGTTCTGCCTTGGAGATCTGGACGACATCATCGGCCAAGATTGTCCTGCACCAAGTAGGGTGCAAAATCTCATGTTGAGCAAGTGTTTAGGTGTGGGAGCATGGAGACTAAGGGTAGGCAGTAGATGGGAGTAGGTATTTTGGGGGAGTATATATACTCGGTAACGGGAACCGACTGTCCGTAACAACCCGCAACAGGAACGGAGCCCAACACCGTCACAGCAACCGTTCGGTTCCCGTAACAGCCCGCAGGCAGGCCCTCGTAACAGGAACTGGGGGCCGCTTTCCGGTCTGGCAAGGATTCAGACCTGCGATTCCAGCATGCCTTTCCAACATTTTCGGGTCTAGCCGTCAGAACTTCACGCTGGAGGTTGCTCTGCACAAATGAACCTTAGCAGCAAACCTTCAACCCTGCGCCTTTCTTCGACATGTTAAAACCCTCTGTATTGCCACGGCCATCCTGTATCCCAAACCACGATTTTTGTTGAACACTAAACCTTCTATGCCCCGAACAAAAAACATAGGCGTGAACAGATGGCTTTAATGGTCGCAAAGTAGGGGCCGAAAACTGGTCCCCCACGGAAGACTTGCAACTTAGTTTCTGCTGCTTGGCTTTCCAGGGATAGTTTCTGCTACGCTCGGGGCGAGGCTCCTGTTTTTGATTAGCGCCCGTTTCCATTACGATGTGCAGAACTGGTTTCCAGTACTCACTAAAACGGTTCCCGTTACTTCCCGCACCCCAACCCTTTGGGGGTCAAAGATGTCAAACTTTAGGGTTTAGGGGTGGGTTTTCAGGGTTACCAGCTTGTCAGGCCAGTGTGGAACGTTGAATCCTGGCTAGGGTCTGAAGGAGTTGTCATATAAGCATCTGCAAGGAAGGAGTCAAAAAGACACAACGCATATCCCAGTTGTGGGAACGCGGTTAATGTTCTACAAGTAGTCAATATCTGACGAATAATAACGACATCGAGTTGGGGGACATCTCTAACGTCGACCTCAGATTGATTGAGCTGCTACAACGATCAACCGGGGGGGCATGTTGATGTTGTGCTGGTCGGGGTCAGCTGCCCCTGCCAGGATGTAATGTCACACAAACATTCCCCTGGAGCCCATCTTTTTCACGAAGTTCTGCGAGTTATTGATCTATTAAGATCCTGTTTCCTCGTTCCGGTGCATTACTTCGTTGAGAACGTTGCCAGCCTAAGTGAGGAGCAGCTTAAAGGTTTCAACGATGTGCTTAAGGTGAAGCCCTTCCTATAGGATGCAAAATGGTTCACATGGTGTCATCTTCCTCGTCTGTTCTGGTGTTCCTGGACGCCAACCTTACATAAGGATGAGTCGTGGGACCAACTTCATTGTTATCGCGAGTGGAAGTTTCCCGTGTGTAGAGACAGTCGAGAGAGTTGGTTGGAACCATATTGTAAGTGGAATGGGCCTGAAGATGGGTGGCCGCCCATCTTAACCCAGCCGAAAGCCTGAACGAATCCACCTACATATCCACTGGGACTGGATGAGGCTTCGTTGTCAGCGGTGCATCGGTGGCAGGCTGATTGTTTCAGAGTGCCGGTGTTGAACTATGAGAAAAGGTTTATGGTTGTGGATCAAGAAGGCGCACTTATGAAGTTCTCATCTACAGCCGTGGGGGGGGGTCGAAAACAGGGTTCACGTCATTTGCATGGGGGGGTTCACTGAAACAATGGTGTTTTTTGCTCTACACACGTACCCGAAAATATTTGGGCTACCGGACAGGCATTTGGTTTCGAAACGTGATTTTGGCCATTGGACTGGAAACTTTTAGGGTTTGGGTCTAGGGGTGACAAACTTGTGTTGCTTGCGTTGTGTTTTTAAGTCTTGAGGTATGTTGTTTTTTGGGATGTGTGTGTATGTTTTCATCAGACGTCGCATGGCAGCCGTTTGCAAGCACGTAACAGTTTACTCGACTACAACAAATCCCTAAACCCTAGGCCCTATGCCCTAAACCTAAACCCGACAACAAAGCCGTTGTTGTGAGCCGTTTGCAAGCACTTTAAGCAGTGATTAATCGCCGCACCAAAAACATGGAGCCTGATTTGGAACGAATCAGCACACCGGAAGCTACCAAGAAAAGACGGCCGCACAGAAAGGGCGTTCAAGAGTCTCGCGGCGTGAGCAGCCAGTGTTCGTTCCGTTTTGTGCAAGTGACATAGCTGCTGAAGAGGTTGGGGGTGAAACTGTGCAGTGTCTCGGGGTGCACTACTTGGTGGAGTTCGCAGAGTCGCTGCAAAGTGCTCTGGCTGTGTGCTCGGCCAGTGAGTTGGCTTTGGCTTCGCATCGAGATGCATGGATGTCTAGACCTTTGCGACGACGGGACCGGGAAGCCCAGGACTCGAGACTTGGGAAAGGTTCAGCGTCACAAAGCGGCCAGTTTTGTAAGCTGCACGTCGCCAATGTCTTTCACTTCGCGGACCCGGAGAGGCGGTGCACCTTGCGAAAGCAAGATGCATTCCCCGGCAATCAGGTCGTGCACCTCCATCCTGTTAGCGAGGACTGCCGACAGCGTATGAGAACCCACGGGGCTCCGCACGAATTGTTGAGACATCAGCGCTCGGTTCGTTTTTGGAAGGTGCCGCTTGCACTTCTCGACAGTTTGAAAGGAGGTGAACTTGTTCTTGCCGTACCTCAAGGGATTTGTCGGAACATGGGCTTTCGGACGTTTTCCGAAGAGCCCACTGCAGAGTCTGCTCCTTCTTCCGTGCCATCCCTGCCTCTGCAGCCTGCAAACACTGTAGGCCCCGCTGAGGCAGGGGACACTGAAGAGGCTCCTGATGGTGCCGGTGTAGGGGACGATTTAGCGGATTTTCTTTGGGATGTGCAGGTCTCGACAAAAGGCAAGGCCATCCGAAGGCGCCCCATGACCGAGATTCTGATGGGAAAACTCTGCTATTCCTTGAGCTCCACAGCGGCCGTGGCTGAGGTGGTGCAAACTGTGCTTCGAATGATGGATGTGCTGGCTGAGAACACGAACCAAGAAGACGTGAATCCCTCCAAGAGCCACGTGCGAACGATTCTCGTGAAGCTGGATTGTTTGCACAGCTTGAGCCGGAGGGTTTTCGCGAAGCCGAACCAGCCAGATCGAAGAACGGTCAGGTTTTTGTCGGCAGACAGCAGTCCGCAAAAAAACTACGACTACTTCCTGGTCACAGAAGAACTGATGACTAGAGACAGTGTCCATCGTGTGCCAGTGGATGCAAGCGGGCAAGTAGATCCGTGGAGAGGGTTCGCCGTGGAACGGAGGACCATGGTAGTGACCACCATCGCTCGAGGTGAGAGCTCGGCAGCTCTGAAGACCATGCGAGTTCTGCACATCATATGCCTGGAGAACACAGCGGTTGCTCTCCCACAGTATAGAGGCGAAGTGAGAGGTTTCTTGTCGGATCAGGGGACGGAGCGGTTGATCTGCAAATACCCCTTAGATACTGCAGCCAACGTCAGGGAGGCAGTGCGGGGATTTGCCAGGGACACAGGAGCTGCCGCCGCCGCCGCACATGAGAGGGTGCGAGCACTACCTTTTTTTCCGGAAGCCTTGGAAATACCTGGTTCTTTGCACGTGGTGTTCAACACCCTGGAGGCTGTAGTGAAGAGTGTACCTGAGTTTGAGGTACTGCACAAGCAGCTGAACACGGTGTGCAGGTTGCTCACACCCCGCAGCTACCAAGAAGTAGTCGAGGTCAAGATGCTCGATGCGGGGGCCCCTGCGGGGGCGGGCACAGCAGCAGACAAGCAGGCATTGCATAGCTTCCGCGACAACCTCCTCGAATGGCGATGGGACAGTTTGCATCGTGTCCTGAGCCAGTGGGCCCCTCTTCGGTTGGTGCTGCTGAGGCACTGGAGGCCAGAGGAATTTGGCTCCGATGTGCAGATTGCAAAGCAGATCACGGAGATTCTTGAAGATGGCATGCATGGTTGGATGGTTGTGTGGGCTGGGAAGTTCGCGGAGGCGGCAACCCGGCTTGCACATTGGATCGAGGGTTGCTTCTGCCACGAGAATATATTGGTTTCCCAGCCAGCCTCCAAACGGCGAAAGACAATGATGGAAGAAACTGGATCTGGCACTTGTTGCTGGAAGGGGAAGAGGCTTCCAGAGCTGGCCTGCAGGAAGATGACGGACCTCATCCAGTACTTTACAAACCAGGCCCGCACAGAGTACATCTCGGAGATGCTCGCTGCACCGGCTGATGTCCGAGCACGTGTTACGGCGATAGATGCACTCGCGACAGAGCAACTTCGCGTGGTCCTCGAGCAGAAGTTTGCATATGCACAGACCATCCCTTGGGTGGTCTGTGCAGCATATGGGGGGTACACTGGCATCCCCTGAGCTCGTTGCAAGGCCGCCATTTCGGAAGGCTTTCGTCAGTATTCCCAGGCGACAACAGGTGGTGCTTTTGTGGATGCAGTGTCCTTTCGAGCCTTTTCCGGTCAGACGTTGGAAAGCCGGCAGCTGAAAGCTTTTGCAGACTCGGAGTTGCCCCTGCACCATTATGCCGAGGCGTGGACCCTGGTGCAAGAGTATTCTTTCTGCAGCCTCGCGGAGCGAGGCACAGAGAGACAGCACTCCGAGATTCGCAATGCTGCGAGGAGAGGCCAGCGATATGCCGGCCCTGCGGTTGTTGCGAGCCGGAAGCGAGAGAAGCAGGTCGTGGCCATGATTGGTGATCCCCAGCAGCTGCAGTTTCTTGTAGCACACTGGCGTGATAGGCAGATCTGGGAACACCTGCTTGAGCTTGCTTGCCGAAGCAAACAGTCAGGCGAATGACAGTTGTGCAGAGATTGGCGAAGGTGTATGCATACCACCCAGACCAGCACTTCATGGACGTGAGCGAGGAGGCAACTGCCCAGGCCGTGTACCAAAAGGCGTTGCTGGATGCCTCGGCTGCTGCCCGCACGGAAGACTCCGTGCCGTTGAAGCTGGACCCAGCCCCTCATCAGATTTTGCACTTCCTGAAGAGCCATCTCCGGAACGGCAGCCTGGTGTCGCTGGGTGAGGAGGCCTTCCAGCTTGCCCTCCGCTACACACCCAGGCAGCCGGAAGAGGAGGTAGATGTGCCATGCAAGGAGATGCTGTCTCAGGACTTGTGGCTGAGCTTGCGAACAGAAATGGTCGTGCCAGCAGTTTCCTTGGATCCGTACTTTTTCACGGTGCTGGATGCTCGACCCGAGCAGCAGAAGGATGTTCGGGCGGATCGGGGCCGCAGCAAAAGCAGCATACTTGTGATGTCGCACACACATGTCCGAGTTCTGTCGGACACAGAAGTGCAGGTACAGTCCAGCGGGAACAGGCAAGAGTTTCTGGAGCTGGCGAGCTTCTGTAACCAAGCACGGATGCAGGTGTTCATGCATTCGTGCCGGGTTTGGACTCCGAGGGCTTCCGACGTCAGCTTGCACGTGTTGACTGCAGGTGCATGCCGGCAACCAGACCTCGTGCCCATCCCAGATTTCATCCAGGATCATGAGCCCGCCGCAAGCTTCAGCAACCAGCTTCGGCGGAGGCAGGCCGACATGCAGGTCGTCGAACACGAGCCGGATCGTGTACGAATTTCTGCTGAAGCCATTGTCCTCTTGAAGGCCGAGGAGGATCTGTTGCATGAGCTTCTTCGTCACGGGGCTTTGGGAGGGCGTCATGTTTCGGTGGATGATTTGTCGGAATTCAATGCTGCTGCTGTTCAGAGACTGCAACAACATGGCATTCTTTCGGGTGAACAGGGGGCCTTCGGCGACTTGACCCTGAGCATCGCCAGCAGCCTGCAGCTGCTGCCCGAATGCACATGGTCCGAACCATTGTCGGTCTGGGAATTGAGCCACTTCTTCTTAACCCGGGGAAAGGTTGCCCTGACATCCAAAATAGAATATTTCAGGTTGCTTTTTAAACAGGGGTGGAAGCCCCGCTGCGACGACGAGAGTGAGTTCTTTGAGTGGCACTGCCGTGATGCCACTGCGGAGTTGCCTGCTCAGGGTCTTGGCATGTCGTTGCCATATCTTCGCTGCTTGCTGACTTCTGTGTTGTTGTGGCAGAAGCCGGGCAACCTCCAGCGAATCTTGGTGAACGGGCCTTCGAAGTACTATGAGTACCTCATGAGCTCGGTCGACCTGTCTGCAGTGGCAAAGTTGACGGCTGAAGAAATTAGGCAGAAGTTTGCGGGCGCCCGCAAAGCACGTGCCACGGATGCTGTGGACATGGCCTTGGACAACGACCCAGAGCAAGAGGACCGGTGTGAGGTACTGGCCGCTGCTGCTGCGGGTGTCGCAGCAGGTAGCGAGGTGCTTCAGTCCGATCCGGAGCTCTTGCAGTTGAACATGCCCAAGGAAAGCAGCAGAGCCATCGTCGTGAATGGCCGGAGCTGCCACGTGTATTTTGACAATTACACCCATGCCTCCGGCCAGTTGCGAGCTTTTGTGCAGTGTGACAGACATACCAACTGCAGGTTGTATGTCTTTGTGCACAAGGTGCGTGGCAAGGGTCGTGCTGTTGCCTACCTGCAGCGTTGGTTGCAGGAGGCCTCAGCCTATCCTGGTCTAAATGGCGACAGGCACAAACAATACAAACCGCCAGACACTGATGTAGATGCCCTCTTGTTAGCCCAGGCCGTTGCTCAGTAGGTAAGCACGGAACAGTGACGAGTCACGAATCACGAGGTCATGCTGCTGGCACAAACATGGTTTCGGCGCCGCCTGTAGTGTTCTGAGATTTGAGATGATGGTGTGTGATGGTGTGGTTTAGGGTTCTGAGGTTTGAGATGATGATGATGATTATGATGATGATGTGTGTGATGGTGCGGTTTAGTATTCTGAGATTTGAGAGTGATGGTGCGGTTTGGTGTTCTGAGATTTGAGATGATAATGTGTGATGGTGTGGTTTAGTGTTCTGAGGTTTGAGATGATGATGTGTGGTGGTGCATTTTCAAGGACCCAATTAATTTCTGCATCAAGTCGTGACACTGTACATTGATGTGTTGCACAAGCTGTCTGCAAAGCCAATCCTATCAGAACTCGCCACAGTTTAATGATGCTTGATGCCACAGATTTTTGGCTTTGAGCCTTGGCCTTGGGCGGTCCATGGCCCATCCCTGGTGGAACAGCTACTGGCCTACGGTGTTCTTTGAGGCCAGGTAGGAGTGCGGCGAGGGTGGCAAAAAGGGTTTGTGTAGGCTTGTGTTTCAGATGCTCCTGCAACCCACGGGACTGGCTCACCCCTACCACTGGGACGCCTTTGGCGACAGTGGGTGGGGCGGCCAGCAACCCCAAGGGACTGGCTGCCTGGCTGGCTCCTACCACTGCGACGCCTTTGGCGACAGTGGGTGGGGCGGCTGGCTCCTAGCACTGCGACGCCTTTGGGCGACAGTGGGTGGGGCGGCCAGGCGGTCAGCAATCCAGGCGATGTTCGGAGTTCAGTCAGGAGTCAGGTTCAGGGTTCATCAGCCGTTGCTGTTGATGTGGACAAGTCCGACAGCTACAGCTCCGAGTCCGAGGAGCGGGAGCCGGAAAAGCGGGAGCCGGAAAAGCGGGAGCGGGAGAATCGGGAGAAGCAGGAGAAGGAGAAGAAGCCACAGCCACCACTCCCACCGCCTGCACACCCTCCGCCCGGCGAATCGAGTGAGGATGATGACCGAAGATCACAACATGGGGCCCGTGAGGGTCGTGGAGGCCGAAGCCGGGACTGCGGCAGAGACCGCGGCAGAGACCGCAGCAGAGGCCGCAGCAGAGACCACGGCGGTGACCACGGCGGCCGAGGCGAGGAGAACCACGACAGAGACCGTGGCAGTGGTGGCCGTGGTGGCGGCGACAAGCACGGTGGCGGCGGCCAGCACGGTGGTGGCGACAAGAAAGATGGCCACAAGCCCGGTGACGGCGACAAGCACCGTGATTCGAGCTTCTCGATTGTGAGAAGCGGATCCGGCGGCAAGAAGGGCGGCAAGAAGGGCGACAGGAAGGGCTCAAAGGGGCCAAAGTGGCCGCAGCCAGCAAAAGTGGGATGCCGACCCCGCCCAGCAGTTCGAGGAGATTGGCGTCGCCAAGTTCAAGCTGTCCTCGCTGCCCCGCAACAGGCGGGGCCGTGTATCGTGCCCGGTCTGCGGGGTGCAAGTGCATCCCGACGGCATGAGCCTACACTTGATGAACAACTCCGGATGCCTTAACCGTCAGAAGGGTGGGCATGCACAGAGAACTTTCGTCTGCAAGGTTTGCGGACGAAAGTTTTGGACGGAGTGGGACCTCCAGCAACACAGTGACCGTTGCAGTTGGGCAGCGGCAGAGACTGAGCCGGAGGAGACGGCCGAGGCCGAGCCACAAAAAAAAGTGCGCCTCAGGAGCCGTTCCCGCCGATCCTCGCCGCCCGCGGCGGCCCGCAGCAAGCCCGCACCGATCCCCGCACCGATGATGAGACGGGCCCGGGCTCCGCAGCCGACTCCTCCGACCGTGACCGACGCATGGGTCTCCAAATATATGGGGATCTTGTGGCGTTGGGGAGGAATTTGCTGCGATAGGCCCTTGACAAAGGCACCACGGCCAGCTTTCGATGAGGCCCGGGACAGAGGCATGGATAGGCCTTGGTCGCGGGCCGCAGTCGGGCCGCAGCGGAAGGGTTGTAGCATCGTTTCACGAGCTAGCTGAGGACTGAGTGTTCAACGATGTTTTTAAGCTTAAAACAGGTTCTCGAAAGTTGTGTTGTGTGAATCAAGAGGCTGTTGTACTCCATCAAAGGACAATATAGGACACAAAGGTTGACACTCGGCCACTCGGCCCGAGATTCCGCGAGAGCCAGTAGCAGGGCCCCTCCCGTGGTTTTCAAAGGCTGTGTGTGAGGCCCTTTCTTGGACTCTAGGAAACATAGGACAACAACGGCTGACACTCGGGCGATAATCGGCGAGATCCGGACACAGCACTGTTTCGAGTGAAAAAATTTCCCGCCAGTGACGAGTTCCCGACGAGTTCCCGACGAGTTGCCTGCCCTCCCGGTTCCCTCCCGGGGCCCTCCCGGGCCCTCCCGGGGCCCTCCCAACTCCCTCCCCGGCTCCCTCCCGGCTACCTCCTGGTTCCATCCCGGTTCCCTCCTTGGGTTCCCGCTTCCCGGTTTTGTTTTGGTTGTTTTGGTGCTGTTTTGGAGCCGTTGTTGCATGTTCTACATCTCAAGCCTTGTTTGCCTGTGCAGCTGGCTTTGCCAGCACAAACAATAGCCTCACGTGATGTCCCGCAGCAGTGCATCACCAAGATCCTTTCTTGAATTTGTAGGATGAAGCGGAAGCGTGTTGCCTCGCCTGAGGCCGCTCGTGCGGCCGGAGCTTCCGCAACGTTGCCAATGGATGTGAGCTTCTTTACTTCCGGAGGCGGTGCAGCGGCTGCGAGAGCAACTGGATCCAACGGGTCCGGCTTGGGCTCCCTCGCAACGGCTGCACCAGCAACTTCGTCCGCCTTGGACTCCTTCTCAACGGCTGCAACGGCAACTTCGTCGGCCGTCGGATCCGCCGCTGGCTCTCTGGGGCAGATTACGGCTTGAAGTGGATTGAAGTGTTTAGTCGAGGGCGCTCTGGCGGTTGGGGGGTTTTAAGGTTTAGTGGTTTGGGGTGTTAGATTCATGGTTTAGGATGCAAGGATTTTTCAAGGTTTGATGGGTTCCGTGAGCGTGCAGTAGGCTTCCGACCATCCTCACGCCAAGACCCCTTGCACAAACACTTAAAACTCCAGAGGTTTTGAGGAATTTTAAGTTTCTCGGGGTGCTTCCTCTTCGGCCGAAATTTTTGCAAGACCATGCTACACAGTGCATCTATTGTGGTTTGCGGATCTTTGCGACGTTACTTCTTCCGTAGATTTGGGTTCTGCCTTGGAGATCTGGACGACATCATCGGCCAAGATTGTCCTGCACCAAGTAGGGTGCAAAATCTCATGTTGAGCAAGTGTTTAGGTGTGGGAGCATGGAGACTAAGGGTAGGCAGTAGATGGGAGTAGGTATTTTGGGGGAGTATATATACTCGGTAACGGGAACCGACTGTCCGTAACAACCCGCAACAGGAACGGAGCCCAACACCGTCACAGCAACCGTTCGGTTCCCGTAACAGCCCGCAGGCAGGCCCTCGTAACAGGAACTGGGGGCCGCTTTCCGGTCTGGCAAGGATTCAGACCTGCGATTCCAGCATGCCTTTCCAACATTTTCGGGTCTAGCCGTCAGAACTTCACGCTGGAGGTTGCTCTGCACAAATGAACCTTAGCAGCAAACCTTCAACCCTGCGCCTTTCTTCGACATGTTAAAACCCTCTGTATTGCCACGGCCATCCTGTATCCCAAACCACGATTTTTGTTGAACACTAAACCTTCTATGCCCCGAACAAAAAACATAGGCGTGAACAGATGGCTTTAATGGTCGCAAAGTAGGGGCCGAAAACTGGTCCCCCACGGAAGACTTGCAACTTAGTTTTTGCTGCTTGGCTTTCCAGGGATAGTTTCTGCTACGCTCGGGGCGAGGCTCCTGTTTTTGATTAGCGCCCGTTTCCATTACGATGTGCAGAACTGGTTTCCAGTACTCACTAAAACGGTTCCCGTTACTTCCCGCACCCCAACCCTTTGGGGGTCAAAGATGTCAAACTTTAGGGTTTAGGGGTGGGTTTTCAGGGTTGCGATTTGAGAAACCGTTTGGGGGGCTCGCAGGTTTCGAGCGTGAAAGTTTAGGAGTTTACGGTTCAGGGACCAGGGTTCAGCGTGGTATGGTTTAGGGATGTTCAGGTTCAGGGTTTAAGTAATTTCGGGTTTAGGTTCTCGGGTGGTTTGGTTTCATAAGGATTTCAATGTTTAAGGTGTGGCGGGTTTGGGCTGCGGAGTTCAAGGTTTCAGAGGGTTCAGGGTTTACGTTGCTTGGGTTTTGGGTTATAAGGTTTAAGCGAGTTTAGTGGTTTAGGCTTCCCGATGCAAGGTCAGGGTCCAGGTGGGGCAAGGGATTGTTAGGATTCAGGTTTCCAAGGGCGTAGTTTTAGGGTTTACGTTGCGGAGGGTTCAGGGCTGACAGAGTTTAGGGTTTTATGGGTGTGAAACCTGGGTTTCGTTGGCGTTCGAACTGTTATACACACCTTACCAGCTTGTCAGGCCAGTGTGGAACGTTGAATCCTGGCTAGGGTCTGAAGGAGTTGTCATATAAGCATCTGCAAGGAAGGAGTCAAAAAGACACAACCCATATCCCAGTTGTGGGAACGCGGTTAATGTTCTACAAGTAGTCAATATCTGACGAATAATAACGACATCGAGTTGGGGGACATCTCTAACGTCGACCTCAGATTGATTGAGCTGCTACAACGATCAACCGGGGGGGCATGTTGATGTTGTGCTGGTCGGGGTCAGCTGCCCCTGCCAGGATGTAATGTCACACAAACATTCCCCTGGAGCCCATCTTTTTCACGAAGTTCTGCGAGTTATTGATCTATTAAGATCCTGTTTCCTCGTTCCGGTGCATTACTTCGTTGAGAACGTTGCCAGCCTAAGTGAGGAGCAGCTTAAAGGTTTCAACGATGTGCTTCAGGTGAAGCCCTTCCTATAGGATGCAAAATGGTTCACATGGTGTCATCTTCCTCGTCTGTTCTGGTGTTCCTGGACGCCAACCTTACATAAGGATGAGTCGTGGGACCAACTTCATTGTTATCGCGAGTGGAAGTTTCCCTTGTGTAGAGACAGTCGAGAGAGTTGGTTGGAACCATATTGTAAGTGGAATGGGCCTGAAGATGGGTGGCCGCCCATCTTAACCCAGCCGAAAGCCTGAACGAATCCACCTACATATCCACTGGGACTGGATGAGGCTTCGTCGTCAGCGGTGCATCGGTGGCAGGCTGATTGTTTCAGAGTGCCGGTGTTGAACTATGAGAAAAGGTTTATGGTTGTGGATCAAGAAGGCGCACTTATGAAGTTCTCATCTACAGCCGTGGGGGGGGTCGAAAACAGGGTTCACGTCATTTGCATGGGGGGGTTCACTGAAACAATGGTGTTTTTTGCTCTACACACGCACCCGAAAATATTTGGGCTACCGGACAGGCATTTGGTTTCGAAACGTGATTTTGGCCATTGGACTGGAAACTTTTAGGGTTTGGGTCTAGGGTTGACAAACTTGTGTTGCTTGCGTTGTGTTTTTAAGTCTTGAGGTATGTTGTTTTGTGGGATGTGTGTGTATGTTTTCATCAGACGTCGCATGGCAGCCGTTTGCAAGCACGTAACAGTTTACTCGACTACAACAAATCCCTAAACCCTAGGCCCTATGCCCTAAATCCTAAACCCGACAACAAAGCCGTTGTTGTGAGCCGTTTGCAAGCACTTTAAGCAGTGATTAATCGCCGCACCAAAAACATGGAGCCTGATTTGGAACGAATCAGCACACCGAAAGCTACCAAGAAAAGACGGCCGCACAGAAAGGGCGTTCAAGAGTCTGCGCGGCGTGAGCAGCCAGTGTTCGTTCCGTTTTGTGCAAGTGACATAGCTGCTGAAGAGGTTGGGGGTGAAACTGTGCAGTGTCTCGGGGTGCACTACTTGGTGGAGTTCGCAGAGTCGCTGCAAAGTGCTCTGGCTGTGTGCTCGGCCAGTGAGTTGGCTTTGGCTTCGCATCGAGATGCATGGATGTCTAGACCTTTGCGACGACGGGACCGGGAAGCCCAGGACTCGAGACTTGGGAAAGATTCAGCGTCACAAAGCGGCCAGTTTTGTAAGCTGCACGTCGCCAATGTCTTTCACTTCGCGGACCCGGAGAGGCGGTGCACCTTGCGAAAGCAAGATGCATTCCCCGGCAATCAGGTCGTGCAACTCCATCCTGTTAGCGAGGACTGCCGACAGCGTATGAGAACCCACGGGGCTCCGCACGAATTGTTGAGACATCAGCGCTCGGTTCGTTCTTGGAAGGTGCCGCTTGCACTTCTCGACAGTTTGAAAGGAGGTGAACTTGTTCTTGCCGTACCTCAAGGGATTTGTCGGAACATGGGCTTGCGGACGTTTTCCGAAGAGCCCACTGCAGAGTCTGCTCCTTCTTCCGTGCCATCCCTGCCTCTGCAGCCTGCAAACACTGTAGGCCCCGCTGAGGCAGGGGACACTGAAGAGGCTCCTGATGGTGCCGGTGTAGGGGACGATTTAGCTGATTTTCTTTGGGATGTGCAGGTCTCGACGAAAGGCAAGGCCATCCGAAGGCGCCCCATGACCGAGATTCTGATGGGAAAACTCTGCTATTCCTTGAGCTCCACAGCGGCCGTGGCTGAGGTGGTGCAAACTGTGCTTCGAATGATGGATGTGCTGGCTGAGAACACGAACCAAGAAGACGTGAATCCCTCCAAGAGCCACGTGCGAACGATTCTCGTGAAGCTGGATTGTTTGCACAGCTTGAGCCGGAGGGTTTTCGCGAAGCCGAACCAGCCAGATCGAAGAACGGTCAGGTTTTTGTCGGCAGACAGCAGCCCGCAAAAAAACTACGACTACTTCCTGGTCACAGAAGAACTGATGACTAGAGACAGTGTCCATCGTGTGCCAGTGGATGCAAGCGGGCAAGTAGATCCGTGGAGAGGGTTCGCCGTGGAACGGAGGACCATGCGGGGGCCCCTGCGGGGGCGGGCACAGCAGCAGACAAGCAGGCATTGCATAGCTTCCGCGACAACCTCCTCGAATGGCGATGGGACAGTTTGCATCGTGTCCTGAGCCAGTGGGCCCCTCTTCGGTTGGTGCTGCTGAGGCACTGGAGGCCAGAGGAATTTGGCTCCGATGTGCAGATTGCAAAGCAGATCACGGAGATTCTTGAAGATGGCATGCATGGTTGGATGGTTGTGTGGGCTGGGAAGTTCGCGGAGGCGGCAACCCGGCTTGCACATTGGATCGAGGGTTGCTTCTGCCACGAGAATATATTGGTTTCCCAGCCAGCCTCCAAACGGCGAAAGACAATGATGGAAGAAACTGGATCTGGCACTTGTTGCTGGAAGGGGAAGAGGCTTCCAGAGCTGGCCTGCAGGAAGATGACGGACCTCATCCAGTACTTTACAAACCAGGCCCGCACAGAGTACATCTCGGAGATGCTCGCTGCACCGGCTGATGTCCGAGCACGTGTTACGGCGATAGATGCACTCGCGACAGAGCAACTTCGCGTGGTCCTCGAGCAGAAGTTTGCATATGCACAGACCATCCCTTGGGTGGTCTGTGCAGCATATGGGGGGTACACTGGCATCCCCTGAGCTCGTTGCAAGGCCGCCATTTCGGAAGGCTTTCGTCAGTATTCCCAGGCGACAACAGGTGGTGCTTTTGTGGATGCAGTGTCCTTTCGAGCCTTTTCCGGTCAGACGTTGGGAAGCCGGCAGCTGAAAGCTTTTGCAGGCTCGGAGTTGCCCCTGCACCATTATGCCGAGGCGTGGACCCTGGTGCAAGAGTATTCTTTCTGCAGCCTCGCGGAGCGAGGCACAGAGAGACAGCACTCCGAGATTCGCAATGCTGCGAGGAGAGGCCAGCGATATGCCGGCCCTGCGGTTGTTGCGAGCCGGAAGCGAGAGAAGCAGGTCGTGGCCATGATTGGTGATCCCCAGCAGCTGCAGTTTCTTGTAGCACACTGGCGTGATAGGCAGATCTGGGAACACCTGCTTGAGCATTGCTTGCCGAAGCAAACAGTCAGGCGAATGACAGTTGTGCAGAGATTGGCGAAGGTGTATGCATACCACCCAGACCAGCACTTCATGGACGTGAGCGAGGAGGCAACTGCCCAGGCCGTGTACCAAAAGGCGTTGCTGGATGCCTCGGCTGCTGCCCGCACGGAAGACTCCGTGCCGTTGAAGCTGGACCCAGCCCCTCATCAGATTGTGCACTTCCTGAAGAGCCATCTCCGGAACGGCAGCCTGGTGTCGCTGGGTGAGGAGGCCTTCCAGCTTGCCCTCCGCTACACACCCAGGCAGCCGGAAGAGGAGGCAGATGTGCCATGCAAGGAGATGCTGTCTCAGGACTTGTGGCTGAGCTTGCGAACAGAAATGGTCGTGCCAGCAGTTTCCTTGGATCCGTACTTTTTCACGGTGCTGGATGCTCGACCCGAGCAGCAGAAGGATGTTCGGGCGGATCGGGGCCGCAGCAAAAGCAGCATACTTGTGATGTCGCACACACATGTCCGAGTTCTGTCGGACACAGAAGTGCAGGTACAGTCCAGCGGGAACAGGCAAGAGTTTCTGGAGCTGGCGAGCTTCTGTAACCAAGCACGGATGCAGGTGTTCATGCATTCGTGCCGGGTTTGGACTCCGAGGGCTTCCGACGTCAGCTTGCACGTGTTGACTGCAGGTGCATGCCGGCAACCAGACCTCGTGCCCATCCCAGATTTCATCCAGGGTCATGAACCCGCCGCAAGCTTCAGCAACCAGCTTCGGCGGAGGCAGGCCGACATGCAGGTCGTCGAACACGAGCCGGATCGTGTACGAATTTCTGCTGAAGCCATTGTCCTCTTGAAGGCCGAGGAGGATCTGTTGCATGAGCTTCTTCGTCACGGGGCTTTGGGAGGGCGTCATGTTTCGGTGGATGATTTGTCGGAATTCAATGCTGCTGCTGTTCAGAGACTGCAACAACATGGCATTCTTTCGGGTGAACAGGGGGCCTTCGGCGACTTGACCCTGAGCATCGCCAGCAGCCTGCAGCTGCTGCCCGAATGCACATGGTCCGAACCATTGTCGGTCTGGGAATTGAGCCACTTCTTCTTAACCCGGGGAAAGGTTGCCCTGACATCCAAAATAGAATATTTCAGGTTGCTTTTTAAACAGGGGTGGAAGCCCCGCTGCGACGACGAGAGTGAGTTCTTTGAGTGGCACTGCCGTGATGCCACTGCGGAGTTGCCTGCTCAGGGTCTTGGCATGTCGTTGCCATATCTTCGCTGCTTGCTGACTTCTGTGTTGTTGTGGCAGAAGCCGGGCAACCTCCAGCGAATCTTGGTGAACGGGCCTTCGAAGTACTATGAGTACCTCATGAGCTCGGTCGACCTGTCTGCAGTGGCAAAGTTGACGGCTGAAGAAATTAGGCAGAAGTTTGCGGGCGCCCGCAAAGCACGTGCCACGGATGCTGTGGACATGGCCTTGGACAACGACCCAGAGCAAGAGGACCGGTATGAGGTACTGGCCGCTGCTGCTGCGGGTGTCGCAGCAGGTAGCGAGGTGCCTCAGTCCGATCCGGAGCTCTTGCAGTTGAACATGCCCAAGGAAAGCAGCAGAGCCATCGTCGTGAATGGCCGGAGCTGCCACGTGTATTTTGACAATTACACCCATGCCTCCGGCCAGTTGCGAGCTTTTGTGCAGTGTGACAGACATACCAACTGCAGGTTGTATGTCTTTGTGCACAAGGTGCGTGGCAAGGGTCGTGCTGTTGCCTACCTGCAGCGTTGGTTGCAGGAGGCCTCAGCCTATCCTGGTCTAAATGGCGACAGGCACAAACAATACAAACCGCCAGACACTGATGTAGATGCCCTCTTGTTAGCCCAGGCCGTTGCTCAGTAGGTAAGCACGGAACAGTGACGAGTCACGAATCACGAGGTCATGCTGCTGGCACAAACATGGTTTCGGCGCCGCCTGTAGTGTTCTGAGATTTGAGATGATGGTGTGTGATGGTGTGGTTTAGGGTTCTGAGGTTTGAGATGATGATGATGATTATGATGATGATGTGTGTGATGGTGCGGTTTAGTATTCTGAGATTTGAGAGTGATGGTGCGGTTTGGTGTTCTGAGATTTGAGATGATAATGTGTGATGGTGTGGTTTAGTGTTCTGAGGTTTGAGATGATGATGTGTGGTGGTGCATTTTCAAGGACCCAATTAATTTCTGCATCAAGTCGTGACACTGTACATTGATGTGTTGCACAAGCTGTCTGCAAAGCCAATCCTATCAGAACTCGCCACAGTTTAATGATGCTTGATGCCACAGATTTTTGGCTTTGAGCCTTGGCCTTGGGCGGTCCATGGCCCATCCCTGGTGGAACAGCTACTGGCCTACGGTGTTCTTTGAGGCCAGGTAGGAGTGCGGCGAGGGTGGCAAAAAGGGTTTGTGTAGGCTTGTGTTTCAGATGCTCCTGCAACCCACGGGACTGGCTCACCCCTACCACTGGGACGCCTTTGGCGACAGTGGGTGGGGCGGCCAGCAACCCCAAGGGACTGGCTGCCTGGCTGGCTCCTACCGCTGCGACGCCTTTGGCGACAGTGGGTGGGGCGGCTGGCTCCTAGCACTGCGGCGCCTTTGGCCGACAGTGGGCGGTCAGGGGGTCAGCAATCCAGGCGATGTTCGGAGTTCAGTCAGGAGTCAGGTTCAGGGTTCATCAGCTTGCTTGTGCTTGTATGCAGACACCTTCTCAAGGCGGGCACACGAGTGCCGGAGCCGCTGCACCCTCCGAGACGGGCGACCGTGCCAGAGCCGGCAGGGCCGCCGCCACGGGACCGGGTTAATCGCCAGAACACCCGGGCAGCCGTTGCTGTTGATGTGGACAAGTCCGACAGCTACAGCCCGAGGAGCCGGAAAAGCGGGAGCCGGAAAAGCGGGAGCCGGAAAAGCGGGAGCGGGAGAATCGGGAGAAGCAGGAGAAGGAGAAGAAGCCACAGCCACCACTCCCACCGCCTGCACACCCTCCGCCCGGCGAATCGAGTGAGGATGATGACCAAAGATCACAACGGGAGCGGGAGCAGCGAGTTAAGGGCAAGCACCACCGCCATGGGGCCCGTGAGGGTCGTGGAGGCCGAAGCCGGGACTGCGGCAGAGACCGCGGCAGAGACCGCAGCAGAGGCCGCAGCAGAGACCACGGCGGTGACCACGGCGGCCGAGGCGAGGAGAACCACGACAGAGACCGTGGCAGTGGTGGCCGTGGTGGCGGCGACAAGCACGGTGGCGGCGGCCAGCACGGTGGTGGCGACAAGAAAGATGGCCACAAGCCCGGTGACGGCGACAAGCACCGTGATTCGAGCTTCTCGATTGTGAGAAGCGGATCCGGCGGCAAGAAGGGCGGCAAGAAGGGCGACAGGAAGGGCTCAAAGGGGCCAAAGTGGCCGCAGCCAGCAAAAGTGGGATGCCGACCCCGCCCAGCAGCCGCAGAACAATGACGAGGAGTTTGGGCCCTTCGACGAGATTGGCGTCGCCAAGTTCAAGCTGTCCTCGCTGCCCCGCAACAGGCGGGGCCGTGTATCGTGCCCGGTCTGCGGGGTGCAAGTGCATCCCGACGGCATGAGCCTACACTTGATGAACAACTCCGGATGCCTTAACCGTCAGAAGGGTGGGCATGCACAGAGAACTTTCGTCTGCAAGGTTTGCGGACGAAAGTTTTGGACGGAGTGGGACCTCCAGCAACACAGTGACCGTTGCAGTTGGGCAGCGGCAGAGACTGAGCCGGAGGAGACGGCCGAGGCCGAGCCACAAAAAAAAGTGCGCCTCAGGAGCCGTTCCCGCCGATCCTCGCCGCCCTCGCCGCGGCCGGCCCGCAGCAAGCCCCGCACCGATCCCCGCACCGATGATGAGACGGGCCCGGGCTCCGCAGCCGACTCCTCCGACCGTGACCGACGCATGGGTCTCCAAATATATGGGGATCTTGTGGCGTTGGGGAGGAATTTGCTGCGATAGGCCCTTGACAAAGGCACCACGGCCAGCTTTCGATGAGGCCCGGGACAGAGGCATGGATAGGCCTTGGTCGCGGGCCGCAGTCGGGCCGCAGCGGAAGGGTTGTAGCATCGTTTCACGAGCTAGCTGAGGACTGAGTGTTCAACGATGTTTTTAAGCTTAAAACAGGTTCTCGAAAGTTGTGTTGTGTGAATCAAGAGGCTGTTGTACTCCATCAAAGGACAATATAGGACACAAAGGTTGACACTCGGCCACTCGGCCCGAGATTCCGCGAGAGCCAGTAGCAGGGCCCTCCCGTGAGTGTCGGCGTAGGCTTCAGAAAGGTTTTCAAAGGCTGTGTGTGAGGCACTGTCTTGGACTCTAGGAAACATAGGACAACAACGGCTGACACTCGGGCGATAATCGGCGAGATCCGGACACAGCACTGTTTCGAGTGAAAAAATAGGAAATCGTAAGGCTTTGCAGCTGATTTGCGCCAGTTCCTGTCCGTTCCCGTCCCGGGTTCCCGCCGAGTTCCCGCCAGTTCCCGCCGAGTTCCCGCCAGGTTCCCACCAGTTCCCGCCAGGTTCCCGCCACGTTCCCGCCAGGTTCCCGCCAAGTTCCCGGCAGTTCTATCAACAACCGTGTAAAGGTGGGGTTTGACAGGCCGCCCTAGCTAAAAAAAAATCGACCTCGCCCTGCCGCCCGGTTCCCGCAGCTGCCACTGGAGCTGCCACCGGAGAGCTCATCCATAGTCCGAGAAGAGCAGCAGCAGCTGCCACTGGAGCTGCCACCGGAGAGCTCATCCATAGTCCCAGATCCACAGCCACAGCTGCCAAGCGAAGGCGTCTCCGGGGAAAGACAGGCATCAATAGCAAAGAAGGCAAGGAGTGTCGCCGGAGAGCTCATCCATAGTCCCATTAATAGTCCAGCCACAGCTGCCGCCGGAGAGCTCATCCATAGTCCCATTAATAGTCCAGCCACAGCTGCCGCCGGAGAGCTCATCTAGTCCCACAAGACGGGCCACAGCTGCCTGCCTGCCGGAGAGCTCATCATATCCAAAGTCCAGCCACAGCTGCCGCCGGAGAGCTCATCCATAGTCGTAGTACCAGTCCGACCAGTCCCAGGGCGAACCGTAGTAGCCATTTTGACAAGTTGGCAGTGCGTCGGTCATGCGGATGCATAGCCATAGATTCCATAGATCTCGATTAGGCAGCCTTGAGCTTTTCATGGCAGAGTGCAGAAGCACAGCTGTCACTGCCGGAGAGCTCATCCATAGTCTGTAGTCAATTCGGTGTCTTAATTTAGTTAATTAGATCAGTGCGTGCAATGCAGGCCTCAGTTTCTTTAATCAGTTTAGCTGATCAGTGCACTTTGTGCAAAAGGTTTTCGATACAGGCGGATGGCATGCTTCATGATGGTGCACTTCCTTCAGTCGCCAGGAAGTGTGTTCTGACAACTAGAGTGTAGGGCTTAGGCTTGACAATGAAATAGCAACTGCTGGTTCAAGCAGTAGCACCTGACCGAGACCCCTCTGGCCTGGTGCCCTGGCCCCCTCTGTGCAAGTCAGCGAGACCAGCCATGGATGGGACCGGCGAACTCCTTTGCCGCAAATGCAACGAGCCCACCACTGTTTCGACTTCCCATGCAACGGGACGAAACGAGTTGCTCCGGATTTGCCAGGAGTGCGGCGGCACGGAGCGGATCTTGAACAAGCAGACTCAGGATCGCTCAGGTAGGTAGTATTATTAGGGAGACCCCCTTAACGGGTACCCCAAGGGTCCCCCTAATCCCCTAATCCTAGCTCCCATCAGGCGAAGAGTTTGGCTCAGAAGAAAGCCAAAGAGGGTGAGCTCAATGCTCACGACGAGGATCTGCTGAACAAGTGCCAGACTGCTGCGGACTTGAAGAAGCAGCTGGGGAAGATGACGAAGGAGGAGCAGTACGAGTGGTACAGGAGTGAAAAGAAGTCCCACCGCCAGGACGGTGGTGGTGGCGGTGTGTCTAAGAAGAGAACATTTGCCACCGCCGTCGGGGTTGTCGAAGACACTCGGCGGGCTTCCATGAGAAACAGCGAGCAGGATAGGTGGTGGCTTGAGAAAGACTGGGTCGCCAGAGAGATGACCTTGGGCCTCGTGAAGAACTACGAGGATGGGCGGGCGAAGTTCTTGAAAAGGTGTCAGGATGATGACACCGAGAGCAAACAGTTGAGAGGCGTCTGGATGCTGAAGGAGTTTGGTGGCTTGCTGGGCGAGCTCGCACAGGAGCACAGCGTAGCAGGAACTCTTCGCCAGCGAATGGACGTCACAGACCAGGGCGAGCTGGCTGTCTGCCAAGAGCAGACAGCACAGTGGCACAGAGGCTCAAAAAGGCCGGTGAAAGGCTGGCAGCCGAAAAGGCCATGCTCGACCAAGGCATGGAAAACGCCTCGGTGCCGGGATTGCATGTCGCCCGAGACCTCGATCAGCTCAAGCAGGAAGAGGCTCTGCGAGATCAAAGGTGGATGGAAACGGTGCTGGAGAAGCAACAAGCCGACAAGGAAAGGCTTGAGAATAAGGACAAGAAGAAACCCGTTAGGGCAGTGCTCTTCCTGCAGATCAAGAATGCCCATGCCCGGGAGGAGACCATGCTTGCCTCCGCACACGGCAAGCAGCAGGAAGCCTTCACCGGCCTGAGAGAAGAGACTCAGGCAATGATGGCAGAGGAAGACGAAGGAACAAAGAAAGAGTTCCAGTCAACAATGGATGCACTCGAAGAGGACTTGAGCAAACTTCTTCAAATCCATCCCTGAGCTCGCAGCAAAGCGGAAAATCAAGGAGGAGGAGATGGCAACGACGGAGGACGATGACGAGCTGCTCAACTACCTGAAGGAGGCCACGGAGGCGTGCAAGAAGGGTCCTGGGGAGTGGCCACAGCTGAAGGCGGTGCCTGCGATTGATTTGGAGGTTTAAGGTTTAAGGGGTTTGGGGTTTAGGATTTCAGGTAACGTATGTGGTTTGTAGTGTGTTGGTCGCAGTCGTAGTTGTATCCGAACCGTTTTGTTGTTCCATTTGTTTTTTGCTCACCCACCAACCCAGGTGAAGGACAGGATGAGGGCCTTCCGAACTTTGGTCAACGATGCCAACAAGGCTTTGGCCAAAAAGGACTCGCTGGCCAAGAAGAAGGCAAAGAACAAGGCCCTCACCGCTGCCACATCTGCGAACGGCACCTCGTCGCAAGCCGCAGCTGACATCGCAATCAGCCCGGAGATGCTGGACTGTGTCTGCTGGATGCGAAAGGAGCTGTTGAAGGAAAGATGGCCGAAGTTTCAGCGAGGCAGCAACGGGGTGTGGTTCAATCTGCAGGAGGATATGCTGGATCAGATGCCGGGCAAGGGCCCAGTGCTGATCCCTGCCGAGCAAATCACAGGCCTGCTCAAGAGTGTTCACGATCTGGTTTACTACCAGTCCCAGAAGCAGTGGTTAGGAGAGAAGATGAAGACAGATGGCAGAGGTGTAACCACTGCGGTGATCCGACGAGAGGCAGTTGCGAAGCAAGTTCTCGGTTTCATCGGCAAGAGCCTGCCGGTGGCAGTCGCTGACCGCCTTTCGCTTCCGGGGGATGAAGATCTGCTGGAATTGTGGAGGCCCATGTTCTGCCACTGCATGGGCGGCCGTGTGGACACCAGCACAGCCTTCAGCCTGCCAGAGCTGACGGTGCATCTCGAGGGGACAAGCGTTTTCTTCGCCGGCTTCCGTGCCACCCAGGAAACACAGCTCGGGGACTTCAAAGCCCTCACGTCGCAAGAGTTCCTTGACCGCTGCGAGTGGTTTGCAAACTTGTCCGCCGGCCAGGGCATCGTCCTGCCGCCAGGGATGGTGTACATCATGATCAACACGGAGTACGACGTCGAGAAGGATGGCAGCCCCGAAAGCATTCCAGCCCACATGCTGAAGTTGTTCGTACTGACGGCGAGCTCCTGCAAATGGGCATCGACAAGCCTTGGAAAGGTGGTCGCCCGCACCCCCGAGCTGGGTGCCAAAAGAACAGGTAAACTTCTGAACCACTTCCTCAGCGTGCTGGACTAATGGACAAGAGGTCCATTGTTTTCTCCCAGGGCGTTCGTTGAAGAGGCAACGAACGGAAAAGCTCGGCATGTACACAATCTGTTGGATTGTGTTGCAGGCCAGCGCAACATGGTTTCACTAGCAGGCTTGCGGAGAGCCATGATCCTTTCAAGCCGGGTGCTTCTTTCTTCAACTGTTGGGGACCCACTGCCGTGGCATCAGATGAATCAGAAGGAAAAGTTCGGTTCCATAGGGGGGTCCATTGAAAAGCTAAGCGATTGTTCATTCAAGCACGATGAGGTTTTGGCCCACCATGTTTCGGCTCAAAGTCCTGCTTTCTCTAATTTGAAGACTAGATGATAAGTGTCTGCTGAGTCTGAGGCCACAACCACACAAGGATATGCTGAGAGCACCCTTGTTACAAACGACTGCGTAGTTTGCCGGTGCCAGTCTGGGAGGGTGAAACCCTCACAGCCGAGGCCACCTCCTACCCACGGATGGCACCTCTTTCCTGACGGTGGCTACAACTCCACGACACTGTCTTGGAGTAGTAGCCTCCGTCAAGGCAGAGGTGCTGGCCCGCTGGCTGTAGTAAGTTCCAGCCACATTGTGGCGGTTACTATGCAAAGTCAATGATTTCGCATAGTACCCGCCACCATGGCAGCTTCTTTGCTCGTCTGGCAAATGGACTGAAACCCGGCTTCGATCAGCCATGATCGCATGCCGGCTGTCCAGACTGCGTGCTGCCTTATGTGTTCGATTGCGAGGATGCCCAGACAGCCAACATGGTAGGCTTAGCATATGCAACTGTTCTTCGGCAGTGACATCAGATGAACTCGATGGCCTGAAAGTACCTCGTGACGAGGAACGAGTTACGACTATGTGTGCTAGCTTACCTATTACTACTCGAAGCTATCGAAGGTAGCTTCGCTAGAAACGAAGTTTCGTTCGCTATCGTCGCTCGCAGGAGAGTTGCCTCTGACATGCGAAGACAGGATAGCAGTGACTTGGAATGGCTACGACGGTGTGTGACCGTAGCCATTTTGGCTCAAGTCCCCCATCAGGGGGGGTAATTTTGAAGTAGAGGGGGATAGAAGGGGAACTTGGCTATCTAGCCAAGCGAGAATGGCCTCCCCGCGCTCCCCTTCTGCTTCGCGGACGGCTAGCCCACAGTCTCCGGCTACTACGGTGATTCCGGCTAGTCCTGGGGGCGAGGAGCCAGGGAGCCCAACCGTCTTGCCCACGGCTGAGCCGGAAGAGCAGGACGTCGGGCCGGCTACTCCCTCCGGAGGGATAGGGACCCCCATCGGTCTTCCGTCCTTGTTGGATAGCGCTCTTGTGCAGAAGCGTGCGGTGCTGGATAGATGCCATGAGCATCTGGCGTCGCGGGGCTTCGGTGTGCTTGAGCTGGCTACCCTCGGTCTAGAGGACGCGGAAGATATTGGGCACCAGGTGGCTGAGGAGCTGGGCGTTGGCTACGACGAGTACATCGGCGACTCGATCTACCTGTGGATACAAGAGGCCCAGGAAGCTAGAGACCTGGTGGAGAGATCGTCGGGATACAGAGCAACTTCGCTAGCTTGGGCTAACCTCAGCAAGCGGCCGGCGATCGAAGGCATCGACCTTCAGGAAGATAGCGAGCCGGAGCCCCCGAAAGGGGATAGGCAGAAGCGCTTGGTCAACGAGGGCTCCCTGGCGCAGGCTAGGGAGGAAAGGCTACAAGCAACCTGGGCTATCAAGCTCAAGGAAGAGCTAGAATTGTGCGAGGCGCCGGTGCTGAAGAAGCTACAGGGGTGCCTGGACCCGGATAGAGCGGTGTTGGCGCTAGCGGGGAAAACCCGGGCTAGCACTCTCAAGCGCTACGTCTCGATGCACGTGAGATGGCGGCTATGGCTACGGGAGGCTAAGAGTGGACGCCCCCCTGGGCTACCGGCCGACCTGGCCGACTACATCATGGCTAGGGGCGACGAGCCCTGCGGGCGAACAGTTCCCGAGGCGATCCTCAAGGCCATCAGCTGGATAGAGAGGGTCGCGGAATGGGCGACCGAGTCGAGAGCTACCTCAGGCAGGATAGCGTGGGCGATCAAGGATACGGTCGTCGAGAGGCTATCCTGGAAGGCTCCCTGGACGCGGCGAGCCCCCCGATACCCTGCGGCTATCCTGGCTAGGTGGGAGCGCCTGGTCCTGGATACAACTGTGGCCGTCGGCTGGAGAGCTTGGGCCTGGGCTAAGCTCCTAAAGGTTTGGGGCAGCTTGCGATGGTCGGACCTCCAGGCTATGGTCCCAAACGAACTGGCTATGGTGGAAGGTCGGCTATCCACCATCCTGCGGCGGACCAAAACCACCGGGGCTAACAGGCGCATACGAGAGCTACCCGTATGCATCTCGGAGAGAGCCTACTTCGAGGACCCTGGCTGGCTACAGGCGGGTTTCGACCTGCTAAAGAACCATGCGGGCTACCAGCGAGACTATCTCATGCCAAGGCTAGGCGAGAGAGGCGCCCTGGAGAAGAAGATGGCTACCTACGCAGCTGCGCTGGTGGCTACAGCGGGGCTGCTGGCTATGGTGGGGATCCCGACGGTTGCCCGAGGCTACTGGTCGGAGCACAGTGAGAGAGCAGTGCTACCCACCGGGCTGAGCCTAAAGCCGATTCCGCCGGCAGATAGAGATATGCTAGGACGCTGGAAGCCCGAGGGCTCGGATACCTACATCCGCTCCTATGGCGGAAGGGTCGCCCGACTCCAGGCTATCTATGCGGAGGCGGCTAGGGCTCGGGACCGAGAACAGCAGCTAGACGAGAGGGAGATAGCCGGCGATCTTGGTGGCTGGCTGTTCCGGACTGGCAAGGCTAGCGAGCAGGAAGCTGAGAAGCTATCGGGAGAGCTGCGACGAGAGTGGGCTAGCGAGCGCATCGTGGAGATGGTGGCTGGTCAGGGGATACCTGAAGAAGTCGTGGCGAGCGATCTTCCCGAAGATAGACCCGACTCCTCGGCTAGTGAGCCGGAGCTGGGACCGGAACCCAACCGGAACCGGCCGAGGCAGCTCCTTAAGAAGGCTAGGTGCACGAGCTATATCATAGTTGAGCTTCCAGGGAAGAAGTACAGGCTACACAAGGGGGGCCAGGCCGGGTGCTGGATGGGCCGCCGTAGGATATTTAAGAACTCCCAAGAGTTTTCGGCGAGGCCCGAACCCAACCAGTACACGCATGTCTGTAGGCTATGCTGGCCGAAAGGCCGAGGCGAAGAGCCCCCGTCTGGTGATAGCGACACCTCTCAGGCTAGCACCGGCGACCAGAAGCCGGAGCCGGGAGAGGAAGAAGATTTCGGAGAGGTCCCAGCAGCAGAGCTGCAGGGAGCACCGCCGGGGATAGCACCCCAGTTGCCGATAGCACCGTTACCGGCTATTCCGTTCGGCTGGGGACCGCCTTTTGCCTGAAGGGATAGAAACGCCGGGAAAGCAGCGGGGCTGGACAACGGGGGGGATACGTCCGGGGGGCCTCTCGGGATATACTCTTTCCTTCCCATCTCTCCGGGGGCGGTGGGCCCAGGGGGGAGAAAGAAGGGGAGAGAGGAGAGAGAGAGGAGAGAATCACGTTGTTCACTTGCTGTCTTGTCTGCTGGCTAGGACGTAGGCTGCGAGGTTCTGAGGCAGGCTAAGCTGCATGCGCACATGTCCGGCTGAGTGTGCACTTGTGGGCTAGGGCACGGCACAAATGCACTTGCCGCGGCTACTGTGGCAGGGTGGAGTAACGGACCACCAGCTTTTCTGGAGAGCCCACGCTAGGTGGGCGAGCCTGCGGGGTCCAGGCGCAACGGATAGAAGTGCTACGCCTCTTAGAGGACTGGCTAGAGACTGACCCGGCTAGCTTGGCCGAACAGATATACGATCGGCTAAGTCTGGATAAGCAGCACGAGCTTCTCCAGCTAGTGCGAAAGGCTAGGGACATGAGGCTAGCCGAGTGCCAGGAGGGAGCTAGCATACAGCCTGGCGGCCGGCTATCTGCCAGGCTACTCAAGTTCCAAGGGGCTAGGTCTTGGGACGATATCTCTGCGGAGCCTGTCCACCACCGAGGCTAGATACCTTGAGCAGAGGATAGAGAAGAACCGGCAGCTGGCCGGGCTACGACCGCACCGACCAGGAGAGACCCTGGAGGAGGATAGCGTCACGGATAACGAGCTGGAGGCTACACCGGAGGCTACCTGGTCTAGCGCCGGGCCGCCACCCGAACGGCTAGACATGCTACACGAGATGATGGCTAAGCTCAAGGAGCTAGAGGCGGAGGTCCGCGGCACGGCTACCCCTGTTGCTAGGCAAGAGGAGCCCCATCCTGGGGCAGAGGAGGCCAGCACAGAGGATAGCACAGCGGCGAGGCCCAAGAAGCCGGCTAGGGACCCGCCGACGGTCCAAGAGTCCAAGGCTAAGAACAAGCTGCGGCAGGGGAGTGCAGCGGATAAAGAAGAAACGGCTACCACCCTGCCGTTCTCGGCTGGGCTAGACCCGGCCCAGGTCGTCAACCCGCCTCCGGGGCTACAGCAGGCTATCTCAGCTGCGGCAGAGACCACGGCTACACCGCTAAGGGCGAGTACAGAGTACCCTGCCCAAAACGAGAGCCTGAAGCAGTTTTTGGCTAGATGCATGCAGGGCGACCGTGGCCCGCCTGCGGACGTCCCGGCCTATGTGGCTAGGATGGAGGAGGTCTTCCGGATAGGCACCTTTCAGGACGGTCCGGATAGCAACCAGGATACACAGCAGCAGCGGCGGCCACGCAAGGGCGAGCCGGGATATGATCCCTTGAGGCCGCAGGCTAAGAGCACCACCAAAGGACGCGGTGGGGAGAGCGACCGTGGCTACATCCACCCGGATAGCAGCCACCCGCTGGACAGAAGGCTAGGAGCGGGCCGATACAACGAGGCCCAGTGGGAGGCTATGGCCGGTGACGGCCGGATAGCTCCGGAGAGGCCCGCGCTCCAGCAGGGAGCGGCGGTGAACATCAACCTGGATAGGCCCACCGAACGGCTACT